GCTTGAACCCCACTTGCTACGGAGTGAGGAAAGTGTAACCAACTGACTAGGTGGGCATCCACAGGGTCTCCCAACCACCCTGAATCCTGCACAAGGTCAAGTCTCGGATTTGCTTTGAAGAAGCAGCTTCCCAAGATGGCCAGATCTTCTGTCTAGGTTTGACTCTAGAGCAGGCTTGTTTTCCAGTGGGCCTAAGAGTAGGAGCTCAGAGTTAACCCTTTGTTTCTGAGGAAGGCAACTGTCCTGCCTGTTTGCCTTGAATGATGGCAGAGGAATAACAAAGGCATAGTTATTAGTGTAGTAATTCTATTAATTCCTTTTCCAGAGCACCTCCTAAGAACTAGTTCTTGAACCTGGTTCTAAGGATACAGATACAACTAATAAAACCAGAACTCATTTTATTGAGCAACTGCTGTGTGTCATGTTACAGAAGCTCATAAAGCACAGGAACTTCACACCCCTCTTCACAGAGAGGACTGCTCTGGGGTCACACCTCTTAAGTGGTAGACGTGAAACTTTAACTCGGGGAAGGCAGCCCTCGTGGATGTTCTTTCTTGACCAGGAAGCATTTTTGGGCTTGCCAGGGTTCACAGACAATCTTACACAGTGTGGTTCTTGCTCTGCAAGGGAAGAGGGGCAGAGTTTTGCAGGAGAGTGGAGCAGTGTGGTCTGTTTCGTCAGCATGAGTTCAGGAAGAGTTTGATCGGGGCTCTTGGCTCAGAGCAGAGAGCTTGGAGGAAAAGATGGCATGCACACCTCAGATGCTAGGTACAACAGTGTTGGAGCCTCAGGGTGGATGGAGCCACTGTGGGCTCTGTATGTGAATCTGGGCAAAGCTGCCACCAGGCTCTTGGTAAGTTTCTCTTTGCTTTACACTCCTTGTTGAGCTCAGCTGCTTGAGTGGTTCTCCTATGCTTAAAAATTCTGGTCAGTCCCAAATCAGTGTCCTGCCACAGCCCTTTTGAATTCAGTCTGTTTTTATTCCTTGTTATTCGTTAAGAAAGTATGTATTGGACACCTGTTATGTGCCTCACACAATTGTAGTGACCAGAGACGCAGGAGTGGACAAAACTTAACAAACATTTCCACCTTCAAGATCCACATCCTGGTGGGGTGGGAGAAGGTGCTAAACTAGAAATAAATAAAAGTATGTGTGTATCAGAATGAGCACTATTGGGAAAAATAAAACAGGCAAGGGGTAGAAAGTGTGTGTGTGGGGGCGGGAGGGTTGTAATTTTAGAGAGGTTGGCCAGAATGGCCTCACTACGGTGGTGACATTTGAATAAAGATGAGAGGAAATAAAGGTGATACTTACAAATCTCTGGGATAGGAGCTTTTCAAGCAGCAGGAAAGGCAAGTGCAAAGGTCTGAAGGCAAAACTCCTCCTACCGTGCGGTAGGGCCAGTGAGGGACCTTGTCTGTGCTGGAGGAGCAGGAAATGAGACAAGTGTGTGGCAGGATGAAGACCTTGGCGACGACTTCATCCTAAGACACAGAAGTCACCCCTTGCGTTCCTGGCAAAGAAACCCTGTGAACTGACTTGGAGTTTTGCTTTGTCTTGTTTTAAGAGTGGTAACGTCCACATAACATGAAATTTACCACTTTAATCATTCTTTTGAAGTGCCCAGTTCAGCAGTATTAAATGTACTTGCGTTGTGCAACCTATCTCTAGAGCTTTTCTGTCTCGCAAAACTAAAAACTCTGAACTCATCAAACTGCTCCCCATTTTCCTCCCCCAGTCTCTGGCAGCCACCCTTCTATTTTCTGTTTCAGTACATTTAACTCTTCTTGATGCTTCTCCAAAATGGAGTGTTGAGCCATCCCAGGCCAGGTAGGTTCATTGTCTGTTCTTGCAGAGCGAAGAGAATTTGGGAGCCTTTGGTAGATTTTACAGGCCTTTAATGCTGAACAGGGACAGACTGACTGGCAGGAAGACAGCAGTCTCTTGGCGCTGTCCCTCCCAGCTCTTGACATCTCGGCTCAGCCTGGTCCTTAGAGTGATGCTGCCCATTTATCCTTTGCCTCTTGGCATAGGTGCCCACACCTACAAATGCGTGGGCCCGTCCGTGCTCTCTGGACCCAGGTGTCCATAATCATAGGGGTGTGTGTCCCATGCCTACACGTCTTGGCCCCGGGCATGCACACAACCTAGGCATGCAAGACTGCAGGTGAAGCCATAGAGTGAAAAAGCCCACACTACACCCCTTACCCTAATGGAGTCATGCTGAATGTGTCTTTTTGTAACTGGCCTTTCTCACATAAATTCTTGATTCACCCATGCGGGAGCTTCCTTTTCAAATGTTCTCTCATCATCAGCTGGTGAACACTGGGGTTGACTATGTGAACAGTGCTGCTGCATACCAGTATCTCTTTGAGGTCTGTTTTTAGGCCTTTTGTGTCTACCCCCGTAGGCAGAGTTGCTGGGTCATGTGTGAACAATTCTGCTTACCATTTGAGGCACCAGGGTTCCAATTTTCCACCTCCTCACCCATACCTGTTACTTCTGGTTTGTGATAGTGGCCATCCTGTGGATGTGCGGTGGTATGTCTTTGGCTTGGCCCTGATGACTAATATGTTATCAATAAACATCTGTCCATGTGCTTATTGGCTAGGCCTGTATCTTCTTTGGAGGAACGCCTCTCCTGCAAGTCCTTTGCCCACTTTTTAATTGGGTTGTTTGGTTTTCTTAGGCTCGAGCTGTAGGAATTCTTTATATATTCTGAACATTAGCCCCTTATCAGACATGTGACTTACAGATGTTTCTTCTCAGTGCGGGGGATGTCTTACCACCTCTTCTGGCTGCTGGGGTGGGAATGGACCATCTGTAGGCAAGGCTAGAAAGTCTAGTCAGTCATTTGCTGACCCGATACCTTAACATTTGCAAACTAGAAAACTAAGGCTCACTGTTTGATGTATCCCAGCTGTGGTTTCCAGACCCCAGGACCCCTCTGTTTTTCTCTCGTGTATATCTGTCTGGCATCGCTCTCACCTGGATCACAGCTTCCACTGCTCTGCGTGGCCCCTGAAGTAGTCACTGATGGGGTCCTGTTCATGTCCCCACTCCACCAGTCCCTTCCCGGGACCATCAGCAGGCCCTCCGGCCCTGCCCCAGCAACCTCTTCTGGCCTGAGCTAGAGTTGAGCCCTGCTGCCCTCTGGTTCAGGCACATTTCGGATATCCTGCTATGTCACCCTCTCCCCGACACACTCTTGTTTCTCATCTCCACGGCTATCTCTTTTGTAAGTGGGGAACTTTACCCAGCGTGTGAAAGAGACCATATCCTTCCTTCAGTGTAGTCCTGGGCTGAGCAGGGACCAGAATGTGTCTGATTCAATTAATAAAAAGACTGACAAGAAAGGAGAGAGAAAGAAGTTGAAAGACACAGAGAAGACAGAGGAGGAGGTGGGGGAGATGAGGCCAGAGTGGTAGAAATGTCGGGGTACACAGCTGTCCTACGACCCTCCACTGTGTCCCTCTTTATATGACTTGGGGCCAGTGGTGTGCCCCCCTTTATTTTTTTTCAGACCCTCTGGCTGGCTCCCTGTATTCAGAGTTCCTGGATAAGACTCAAGTCTTTTGCCTTTATTTCTTGTTCTTTTTTCCCATACTTTACATAATAAAAGTTTTCTTTTCCCTTTTCTTTGGGAGTCAGAAAACTGAAGACTATTAAGAACTTAGTAAAGAACTCAAAGGAAGTAGCTGTGGGAGGGGCGAGGGTGGACTGGGAGGGATCGGAAGGGGAAAGTGGTTTTTCATTCTGGGGAGATTTTGCCATGTGCAGTGTGCCCTGGTAAATGAATTTTTGGGTCCAGGGCCTGGGAGACTTGTTAAAAAAAAAAAAAAAACACCAAAAAATAACAAAGGAGCCCATGAGAAACCCCAGAGCTTCTGGGAAAGGGCCTTGTTTATGGCCGTTGGAACTGATTTGGTCAAGTGTTTGTTTAAAAGAGATGCCACTCGGTAAGTGACGCCTGGCTTACTTGTGTTGTGTTCAAGAATGCTTTGATTGGCCAGAGACCCTGCCACTGTTTACTTAGAAACTGGCCCGAGTATGTGCCTGGAACCCAGAGACCCACCTCTGCCATTCAGCAGATTCTTCAGTATCTGGACATTGGGATGATGGCTGTAGTAGTTGAGCGTGTCAGGCAGAGCCAAGCTCCTAAGAGGGGCTGTTCCTTCCAGCCTTAGAGCGCATTTGCTACCTCTCCTGATTAGCAGATTGGCTGCTCCATACGACTGTGGATTGGGCAGAAAGAGGGTTGAAAGTACCAGTAAGTCATGGTGAGAACATACTTTCCTTGCAGGGTAAACACCAATCATGTAAACACCAATTATGTTAACGTTTGTATGGTATTACATCCCTGAAACAAAGAGCTGTGGGCCCATTTTCCAGATGAGAAACAAAGAACAAAGTTTTCAAGGGACCAGGTCAGGAGATTCATGGCATCCAGTTAGACCTCGCAGCTGGGTTCCTATTTTCCTTAGTTGGTGACAGAATCTGGCTTTCTCGTTTGTTTTTAAAACCTTTTTCTGTCTCCATGCCTCGTACAGGGCAGGGCCCAGAGAATGGTAGGTGTGTAGGGCTGTGTTAAATTGGATTAATCTGGTCTCCAGCCTGCAGCCTTGTTAGTAGTAAGTAGGGTGGGACTGGGTTCTGAAGATTCCAGATCAAAATCGTTTTAGGACTCGCTGGAATCACCCCCTCCCCTAAACCCGGTCCATTCTGGGAGTCACCCCGTGCATCACCACCTCTGTGTCTTTGACTTTAGGAAGAACAGCCAGGCTTAGAATTTGCCACAGACACAGAATTTGAATACTTTTATCACCTCAGTAGGTAATACACACTAGAAAGAAGAATGGGGGCTTGCATTCTGAGTGTCTGCATTTCTAATTTTCTGAAATAGCAAAATAGCTAAGGGGAAAGTGTCTAAGAGAAGCAGCAGTGCAAATCTGTTTCTTTGCTAAAAGTCACATTCAAGTCGCCTCTCTGTGTGTTTTAGGCAACACAATAAGATTCGCAGCGTGGAGGGGAGCCAGCTGCAGGCTTACCTTTCCTTAGAAGTGCTGGACCTGAGTTCCAACAACATCACGGAGATCCGGAGCTCCTGCTTTCCCCACGGACTGCGCATCAGGGAGCTGTAAGTGCGCCAGATCGGGGTACAGGGGCTGAGCTGCAGGAGGGGCCCCTTCTGCTTCTCACAGAGGGCAGCCAACCCGTTGTCTTCTGTTTGCCTGTTTGTAGACTGTTCCCCACCCTCGCAGTATCATTGTGACTGTACTGCATGGGTGAGGACGCTGTGCAGAGGAAGGTAAGGTGGCCTGAAAGACTCACCCCCTGAGATGGAGGTTTCACCTTCAAGTCCTGATCTGTGTCGGCAGCAAAGCCCGCTTGCTTGCTCATTCACTGGCTGCCTCCCAGGAAAGCTCAGAGAAGACTTGGGTGGACAAATGCCACCGCAGGGAGCCCCTCTGATGAGACCTCATCTGTCAGAGCTAGTCTGCTAGCATCATGCACTGTTTAAACACACTGTTCGGTTTATTTATTCTGTGGGTTCTCAGGGCCTTCTCGATGGCTGCACGGGTTTGTTTCTCCACTACCCGTCTTAATGCCCCATTTCACACGCAGTGGAAGGTAGACAGGAGGAAAAACAGTTAGAGCCTATTTAACTTACTGCCTGCTGCTAGGAAAATGCTGCTTTGGGGAAGAAAGACACTCAAAACCCAGGTTAAAGAGGCTTTTTCACAAGTCATGAGTGTTCATTCTCGGCATTTTTCATGTTTCTGAGTCATTTTAGAGATGATTTTGGAGGCTGGTTTAAGGGTTATCATGACCCATCGTTTTGGGGAGTGATTGGAACACAGATTTTCCTGGACCTTTAGGAGAGCCATGGAAACAGAGGCCTTGGCCTTCGCTAGCAGCATGGCGGCACACGCAGATGTCGAGACCTGCAGAAAGGTGGAGCCCTGCTGTCACCTTGCACTTTCTTGCTTGGGACAAAGAAGCCACCAACTGCTAACTGAATTGCAGTGACCTTCTTCTCTGCATGAAAGCCAGAGTGACTTTCAGTTTGGCAGACACTGGCCAGTTTATCTTCACCACACACAACTGTTCTTCTTTAATCTGGAGTGTTAAGAACAAATAGTCCAACCCCACATTTAAAGAATCCTCATGTGCCCTGTCCTGGGCTGCTGCCTGAGGGAGCGATCACCCAGCCCATCTCTGTTGTGGGATTTTCTCATCTCTCTCCTTTCTGCTTAAGCCACAGAACAGAGCTTTTGTCCTGGGAAAGTAGAAAGATAGGTGTTGGGGTAATACCGCATGGCGCCTTCTCTTTTTCTTCTCCATCTCCGTTACTTGACATAACACAGACAGGAGGGGAGGCACGGCCGTAGCCACACTGTAGCGCAAGCCTGTTGGTGGAGGTACCTCTGGGGTCTTGCTTGTTTTCTAAAGAGCCTCCTTGCAGGTCTCTTGCAACCAATGTTTCATTGATATGGTTAAAAGTTGTTAGAATAGATTGGTTTATATACATTCATCACATAAATCATATGCGATTCACTTTAAAATTGAAGACTCTTCTCTAAGTGATGAAATCTACTCTTACCTGCCACTCTCTGGGCTTTCCCCACCACCCTTGAGCCCTAACCCTTGGCAGTCTTGCTGAGGAGGTAATCCTGCAAGGGTGCATACCCCATAAGCTGGTGGTGGCCAGGGGTAGAGGTCAATGACTCTCACTTCCGTCCTCCAGGGACTTCCGTCCTGAAGGGACTTCCATCCTCCAGGGACAACCCACTGGCATAAGCAGCACCGTGTGCTCTGGGCAGAAATAAAGTGACTTTGAGGCCTACAAACCTCCACTGTCAATGAAAATAGATTTCACAGCCCCGGGGTGATAGCTGTCTCATGAAGCCCAGTCCCGATGAGTGTGTTTTAGCTTATGCTCCCAATCAGTGGGGTCTGGTATTTGTAACAGAACGAGGAAGGCCCCCCACTGACCACTGCATTCTCTCTCCTGAATCATCCCAGCAACCTGGCCAGCAACCGGATCAGCACCCTGGAGTCAGGAGCATTTGATGGTCTGTCACGGTCACTGCTAACGCTCCGGCTGAGCAAAAACAGGATCGCCCAGCTTCCTGTGAAAGCCTTCAAGTTACCCAGGCTGACACAACTGTGAGTACAGAAACCTGCACTTTAATTAAGGTTAGCCAGACTTTATGGAAGCCAGATTTCCCTGAAGACCTCGTACCAAATGCGACCCCTTCCTCATTCGCCCTGGTCAGGCTCTGCATAAACTATCATTAATGACCCTGTGGCAACACCTAATAAAAACAAATTAAATGCTGGGTCTGGTGCCTGTGGGCGGCCTCGGGCTGAGAAAAAGATCCACTTGAGTGTATATATACTCTTCTTCGCTGGCACTTTCTCAAGTGAAATTCCAACTCCTGTCGGCCAGCTGCTGATCCTGGCGTACGCAGGCTGTGTGGATTGATTCCTTACTTCTCTTCGAGGCTTTGTCTTTTTCAGAGGCACCCATGCAGTCCATGGCGAGGCCTGAAGGTGTCCAGCGCTTCCTGAGCGTGAGGCAGTGTAGCCAGAGTAGTATAAGAAAGAGATAGACTGTCTGTAGTGTCAAAATGTCCCAAGGCCGTTTATTTATTTTTAAAGGAAGGATTTATTTGTTTGATTTCTTGATCAGCAAGGCCAAGTGTCCTCCCACAGTGGACATAGGGTTTAGATTCAGGAAAACCCTGGTAACTAGAATTGCGGTCAACTGTTTCTTGGGATTTTGTTGTTTGTTTTTTTTCCCTGTATTTATAGCAAAACAGTATAATTCAGGAAAATAAGGGAGATTGGGAGATTTGCATTACATGTAGCAGAACAGTTGTTCAGAACTGGTTGGTTAGCAGGACTTTGGGGAGCCCCAGCACCCTCACTGTCAGTCTCACCCTGGGGATAGATCCAGGCTACACTTGCTGCAATCCCACAGAAGCCTCCTGGGTGTCTGAGAGGTTATGGAGGGCCGGGACATGAGCCACACCATAAGTTTGTGGGTGAAAACCAAGGGTTCTTGAGCTCCACGTTCTCCTGCCATTCCCCCAGTTTTATGAATGGGTCCAGCCCACCAGATTCCTGACATCTGTACTGAGGTTTTTTCATGCTGGGGGGCAGGCCAAATATGTGTGCTTCATGGTGTATTTAGATCTTCTGCTCCCCATACGCATAATGCTTCTCCACAGTACAGTCCTGTTCAGTGTGAGGAGTAAAATGTGTCATTGCCATTGATACCAAGGGTTAGATTTTTCCCAGGTTGAGGCATCATCTGTGGTTTTTGGTTGCTTAGCTAAGAGATACCTACCTCAAATATTCCCCTCCTGAGTCATGCCCACTGCCTCACTGCAGAGTCATGGACATTCAGGAAGGAAGTGTGAGTGCTCACTTACTCAGGGACACAGCAGGGCCAGCTTCTAAAGAGCTCTGCCCCTCATCTTTCCACCATTAGCAGTGACCCCGTCACTAATGGCGCCTGGATGGTGGTGGGAACAGCTGTGAGATATACGTAGGCCTGCTCTGTATGCTGGCTGAATGGGCCCTCTCACCCTGATTTTCCCTGCTGGCTTAGGCCCAGTTGGGACTGCGTGAAGATGGCCTGTGGAAATAGGCTGTGTAGAGAATGCTCTGAACTCAGAGGCTTCATCTTTTTAGGGACCTCAATCGAAATCGGATCCGGTTGATCGAGGGCCTGACATTCCAGGGACTCGACAGTTTGGAGGTGCTAAAGCTTCAGCGAAACAACATCAGCAAGCTGACAGATGGGGCCTTCTGGGGGCTGTCCAAGATGCACGTGCTGTAAGTGTGGGACCTGGTGCTGAGGTTGCTTGCTAGTCTGGTTTCATCACTTGTGCTTGTTCATTCACCCCATTGGGGTCCCAAGGCCTAGCCTGCCCTTTGGAACTTCACACTAAGCCTGAGTTTGTGACTTTGGGTACTGTATCAGATCTAATGGCATTTTCCACAAAGTTTCTGGGGGCAGTTTGAGTGGACTGAGGAAGTTGGTTGGTCAAAATGGAAGAGGTAGCCATTGTTGGGGTAGCCACGCGCCCTCCCACACCCACCTCTGCTTTTTGAGTGGCAGAAGGACCACAGGGAGGGCTCCCTTCCCACACCCTGCCGGAAGTTCCCCCTCTCCCCTTTTGGGTTTGACAGGCTTCTTTCATGAGCAGGTAGGTGTATAGTTCATCCTGGGAGATGTATTTACATTTTGTGAGCGAATCTAGACAGTCAGTACAGATGTCCCACTTTATGCAGGGAGCACTCTCCTGGCCAGATGCGTGCAGCTGTTGCCATGCTGATAGACAACAAAAGGCATATAGCAAAGGTGGTGGCTGCCGCCCACCTTCAGACATTTACATTTGCTTATTTTTAATCAAAAGGAACATACATTTCTAGTTGAATACAATCAGATAGTAAAGAGCTCCTCCCCTGAGCTCTTCCTCACTTCTCCACAATCAGATAGTAAAGAGCTCCTCCCCTGAGCTCTTCCTCACTTCTCCAGAAGGCATCATCTGCACAGTCTCTCCTAATCATTCCACTCTTGGGTTGGTTTGATTTTTTTTTTTTTTTTTTGGTTGTGCTGGAGGCTGCTTCCAGGTTAACCCACATGTGTTGCTCTCTGACTGGTTAACTCGAGATTTCTTACTTTACAGTCAATGATTTAACTTGCTCAGAATACCTGCCACTCCTTCCTGATCTCTACAGTTTATATCCTTTTTTGGTCACGATGAAAATGAAAACAGAAAGCAGAAACCTTAGTCCAGCTCTGACAGCGGCTTATGCCAACCTCCTCACCACACAGGCTGCCCTTGACACCCCTCCTCGTGCCCCCACTCTCTGATCTGAGGGCTCTTTTACTTTCTTTCCTCTGTTTCCCTGTCATCCTCCTTTGGCTAGCTGTACCTGTTTTACATACTCAAGACACTTTTACTTACCAGCCTTGAATATGTTCTCTTGGACTGTGAAATCCAGATGTGTCATGTGCCAGGTGGGCTGAGGGCAAAAGAAGAAAATGAAGTTGGTACCTGTGGTTGGATTTTTATGTTGAATAGGTTAATGCAAATTGTGGGTGATGCATTGCCTTAGAAGTTACGTTTTTAAGTTGAGAAGTTGCCTTTTGGACAATGGCAGAGAGATGATTGGAAAGCAAAGCCTGGTTGCTCCAAACCCTTGTCAGGCTGAACACAGAGCAACATTTGAATTAGTGACTTTTATTCAGAGGCCAGTCATACGGGGTCGAGTCGTCCTTGGCCAGACCATGCTGTTAAGAAGCAGGGTCATAACATCTTCGTTTAAAACTTGATAGGAGCTGAGTTCTTAGCGTGTTGCTAAAACATGAAGTCAGTAAATCCTGTTGGATATTCTCCATCTTACATACACCCACCCGCTGGTGTGAACTATTGTTAAAAGAACCTAGCCCATCTTTTATGCCTCTTCAATGACCTCAGCAAGCAAATTGGCAAAATTGGGGCTTGAATCCAACTTGTCTGAGGCCACTTTGTCTGTGAAACATCTCTTGGCACCGAGCCTGGACTCAGTTTGCCAGGCCTGGGTTTTGAGTCTGGCCCCTAGCTGCTTGCTGAGAGGTGACATCTTAAGTAATTTAAATTTAACTGGTCTAAGATTAAGAACTGATCTAAGAGCGACTGGCTTCTCCTCGCCCTTTCCGCCCTGGGAGATAGGGACCGTGATGAGCGTCCTTCTAATCTGTCTGCTTCCCCCCTCTCTGGTGGACTTGACCCTGCTTTCAGCCTCCGCTTGCATGAGTTATATTATGCAGCTGAAAAGGTCACTTCCGGAGACTTGCCTCTTGCCCTCTGAAATTTTTGAGCTAGATTACTGCCTTACTGATTGTCCCATCTCTCCGCTCCTCTACATATGTATGCACCCAGACTCCACATGCTGTCATGCACCGTGAGGTCCCAGGTTGACCAATGTCTACCTACAGTGGCTACTGTTTGCTGTTGGTTCAGTAGAAGGGTGGGTCTCATCCTTCATGTGGCTGTCGTTGCAGGCACCTGGAGTATAATAGCCTGGTGGAAGTGAACAGTGGCTCGCTTTATGGCCTCAGTGCCCTGCACCAGCTCCATCTCAGCAACAACGCCATTTCTCGAATCAACCGCGATGGCTGGAGCTTCTGCCAGAAGCTACATGAGCTGTGAGTGTCCTCTGGCTTGCTCTGTACAATATTCAGACACTGATTGTAGCCGAATCCTCCGGAACCTGGAAAGTGACCACCTGGAACCTTCCAGGACCTTGGTGGGCCTGGGGAGTGCTAAGGGGGTGGGGAGGACGGGGAAGTGCCAAGAAGCAGGCTGACAGCAGCCCCTTCTGCAGGCCTAGTGGAGCCCTGCCAGCCAGCCTTCCCACCCAGAGCTGAACCCCAGACCCCGATATTTCATATTATCAGGGGCTTCAGGGTAGCTCTAGATCCCCGCAGGCCTCCCTGGACTTGGAGAGACTTCCTGAGGTAGAGGGGTCCATTATATTCTCCTTGCTGCTATTGGGAGGCCTGAGTGAAAGGGGTCAGTAGGGCTTCAGTCCAGAAAGAACAGGGACCCTGACCTGGAGAGCTGGCGACACACTGAGGGTGGGAGAACCGCAGAGCCTGTAGTGCCAGCCTTTTTCCTGGGGCAGAGCCCAGGCACCTGGCTCCTTCCCTTCGCCTTTGCCCCCTGGTCTGGAAGCAGGGCTGCTGTGTGATGTGGGTGTATGTTCACACACCACCTAAAGAAGCATGGCTCCCTCTTTGGAGACTCCTGGGCAGAGGCCAGGCCTGGCAGGCTTTCCGGGCCACCCTGTGAGGGAGGGTGGGTGGCTTCGGGAATGAAAGGCAGCATTGCCACTGACTCGGTGGACTTATCCTGCCCCATTGTTTCTGTTCTGCCTCCAGAAGAGCTGTCATTTTGGAGGAAAACAAGAGAGCTCCATTGTGTTTGTTATTTCAGTTTAATATGCTTACGGTTTCTTAATTCTGTTTTAGTCCAGCATTGTTTTTTATAAAAATTATTGAGAGGATAGGTGGAATTTTTTTTTTTTTTCGTTCTTAGGAAAAAATTCACCCAGTGATGGGAGTGATTATTAAATGTAACAAGTTTGTCTTGTCTCTCCAGTGACCTTACCAAAAGACTTCAGAGGAGCTTAAACCTAATGTGGAGTCTTTCAGTTGGTGTTTTTAATCTGGTCTATGTTTTTATCCTACACACCTACTGTATACTAGCTGGAATTTATATTTCAGGGAATCTGCCATTATTGAATGCAAAATCAGTAGTCCTGCCTCTTCCCCTAGACTCAGCCTCTGTGTGTGTGTGTGCGTGTGAGACCCCCTTTGGGTTATTCCCTGGCTCAGCAAGAAGGCACACTTCTAGTCTCATGTGACACTGGATGGTCTGGCATGGTCTTTCTTTACATACCCCACTGGGGAATGCCCAGAACCATGGTTTTTTGACCAGGCCTGAGAGCCAGGGGAGGTGAGGAAGAGGTTGTCTCAGTGCTCCAGCCTGAGCCAGTGGTCCTTTTAGGAGAAGGAGCACTCCCTGCATCACTGGAGGTTTCTATTGCATGTGGAGGGCTTCCTTGCCGTGCTGCTCTCTGGCTGGTGGGCAGTGTGAGGCTATCTTTTGCGCCCTGTAGAAGAGGCCCAGGATGGAACGGAAGGGGCCTTGGCCAGTCCAAGCAGTTTGCCTGACATCCAGCAACCACAGAGCCAGATTTCAGCTCTCCCGCGTGTTTCCCAACCCTCCTTTAAGCCAGATTCTTTTAATTGCAGGTGAGGATGTAATTTTGAGCTCTTGCCAGGCCTTTGCAACTGACAGACACAGTGACTTATTTCTCCAAGAGGAAGAGAATGTTATTCCCTGCCGACTTTAAAAACTCATTAATCTTTGAATTTATTTTGCTTCTTCCTGTTTCAGCTTAGATTTCCCATTTTTCAGTGATAAATAACTAAATGCCATTGAACCAACCCAGGGCTGTCTTAGAGGTGCTGTGTGGGAGAAAGGAAGGTTGATTCCGATGCTCAGGGAAGCTACATGTGGTTTGAGGCATATTCCTGCTTACAGGAAGGGAGTCATACGAAGAGGCTGGATTGGATGGGGCCAGGGAGTCTGGAAGGAAAACTCGTTGAGGGCACCAGCCCAAGACAGGCACGATGCTCTAAGGAAAGCTTGTTCTCAGCTCATGGTGCCCTCTGCTGGTCGCTATCGGGAATGCACCTGGCTCCCTTGCTCACTGTCAGAACCTCCTGGGGTCCTATCATGTCTCAGGTCACTGCCACGGGAGCCTTTCAGGGCCTGAATAAAGACCAGTCTTGAGCAGCAGCACAAAGGTGTGGGAGCCCTACAGGTCTTCAGGTGCACGGTCTTGTGTAGGCCTCACAGCTTAACAGGCTTTCTGATCTCCATGACCATCATAGCCCTTCCAGGAGTCAGGCTAGGTGGGTGTAGAACCAGTGGTGACGTTTGCTCCTCTCCCTTTCCTCAGGATTCTGTCCTTCAACAATCTCACCCGACTGGACGAGGAGAGCCTGGCCGACCTGAGTAGCTTGAGCACCCTGCGCCTGAGCCACAATTCCATCAGCCACATTGCAGAAGGTGCCTTCAAGGGACTCAAAAACCTACGCATCTTGTAAGTCTTTCCCAGTGGGTTGACAGAATGAAAGGGTCCCTGGCTGAGGGAGCAGACTATAGCAACCACGTGCTTAGAGGAGTTTCCTTCACATAGACAAGGAGCCGGAGTGGGGTCTCAAACTGACAACATCTCAGATTTTATGACCAACTGAGAAAGAAATGGCTGAACAGAACAATGTCTCTCACTCTTTCAAGCAGTCGTGCTGAGCCAGCACTAGTCCCTGCAGTGTACTTGGCAGGGTCCTGGGGTTGGGAAAAATTCCCCAGGCTGAGCATTGGCATAGCCAGCGGGTCAGCAACCACGGCCGGTCTTTCCGTCTGGAATGCTCCCACTGTGGCTTCCCTTTTTCAGGTCCTGACTATCGCCGTCCAAGGCAGGGAACCCTGGGGTTGGTCTCCGGGCTAGCATTTGGGCTTCTTCAGCACGCCCTGGGTCTAGAAGGCTCCATTTCCAAGAGAGGCAAATAGGCCTCCCGTGAGCCTCATTAGGGCTCAACTCACAAGGTGGTGGCTATTTTCCTCCAGGTTCCAAATTAGGTGGGGCTTCCTGGGCATTGTAGTAGGGTGCTTTCCACGATGTCCTTAGGAGGTTTTGATTGTCTGCTTCAGAGGACTTTCAGGCATATACCAGTGTAAAGCCCCCAAAGAAGGGCATTTGGGTTTTTGTCAGAAAGCGCTAGTGTGTTTTAAGGGCGACTTCCCCGCATGCCCAGTGTGAGGGGGGCCCTGCCCAGGGCAGAGGGAGGAAGCCCTTTGCACTTGCACCTGGCAGAGAGGGCAGAGCAGGCTTTGATGCCAGGCCATTGTTAAGGAGTGTGAAAGAGCCGGAGGCCAGGCTATTCAAGCCCTTGCGAGGCCTGAATAAGGAAGCCTGGAACTTTCTGAAGGAGCAGGCCAGAAAGGAGAAAAAAGCTTTGGCACTAGGGTGAGGAGCAGGGAGACAGGCACACAAAGCCATAGCCCCTGGGTTCCTGGGTTTTTTAGTATGAAGATAATAGGAACAAAGCCATTTAAAAAAGTTCCTTCCAGTGGCAGAAAGTCAGCTCTTTGAGCTTCCTGCTGTAAATAAAGGTCACTGCAAGCTTTGCACTTTTCAAAGTTTTCCTCCCTCTTGCAGTGCTGATTCCTGACTCTCCTGGGAGCGGAGAGCAGCATCCCTGTCTATTCCTGGTGCCTGGCCAGACTCAGGACAGGAAGGTGTAGGGACGCAGGAAGTCTGTGGAAGCTAGAAAGGGCTGGCCATGTGGCAGCATGGGGTCTGGCCTCCAGGTGGGATGTCTCCCTGGCGCTGTGACCTGCCCTTGGAACTTGGGGGAGGAAGCTGAGTCATCAGCCTTGTGATTTGCATTGCTGGAGACTGAGCTGAGAAGTTGGCCTTGGCCCCCCGCCCCTGCTCAAGTGGGTCACAAGTCTGACTCAGCAGCCAGATGTCGACCCTGGCTCCACACCCACTTGCCAGCACAGAGGGCTGTGAGCTGGGACCTTTTGGTTCATGTTCCTGTCCGCCGTGTGCCTCCAGTTCTGCAGAAAATCCCAGAAAAGGAACTCTGGTGGGCATGAAAGCAGATGGGAACTTTTAGGAACCCTTTAGATTGATGCTCAGTGCTAGTGGCCATGTGTCTGCTCTGTGTTTTCCGCTCTGCTGTCCACACCTCCTCCCGCCCCGGACGCAGCCTGAGGTGACTGCGAAGCGGCAGATGGAGCCAGGCAAGCTCCATCTCAGAGCTCTAACTCCAGGCCCATGTCAGCTTCGCCTGGAGGCTGAGAAAGCCAAGCAGCCACACAGAACATGCAAAAGGGGCTTTCCGGGAGCAGTGGTGGTACTTCTGATCCTGTTAGACATCTGGCTGTGCATGTCGAACACCCCTGGTGTCTTGCGCCCACTGGGTGTGTACTGCTCTCCCACTGGGTGTTGAAGACTGTGCCAAGAGCACAGACTGCGTGCTGAGCTCTCTTTGTTCCTTCTCCCCAGGGATCTGGACCACAATGAGATATCAGGCACGATAGAGGACACCAGTGGTGCTTTCACGGGGCTTGAGAGCCTGAGCAAGCTGTGAGTATGCTCCATCTGAGTTCCGTTGGAGAGGGCTCAGTACTCCCGCCCCTGCCTCCTTTGTTCTGGGCCTGGCGGAGGAGAGCGGGCCTTGTGTACCTTCTTCCAGCCAGAGTGAGAGATGGAGACTTCTCTCCCAACTTCTCTCTGGCCAAGGGTCTTGTCGCTGCCCGGGGCGCTGCTTCTTTGGGTCTAAAGGCCTGGGTTTGGCATCCCTGGGGGCTTCTCTCCATTTTAATTCATGGTGAATGTTAAAACAGCGACAGAGGGGTCTTGCCCTCTTATTCATTTTCTAGAAATTGTTAAAATACCTAAAGTCCAGTAACTCTGGATGATTTTGAGTCTTTGGTCAATATTTCTTATGTCAATTACAAACTTGACCTGAAATAGTCATTCCTGAGTGTGTAGAAATAGCTGTTTTTTTATTCAGAGTTTCCGGCTGGCTTTTTGTTGTCTTAAGCTCTAGAATCTGCCAGTTTCTCTCTGAGACATTGTGTGTGGGCGTCCTGTACAGGGTTCCCCCACGGTCCAAGAGTAGAACATCCCTATTTGATAGGTAACTTTTTTGAGTCTGGGAATGCTATTACCATTAATTTATATGGAAAGATTTCTGAGTATGCCCAGACCCAGAATGTGCCATACCACACCCTCCCCAAATTGTCGGCTCTCCTTTCGGACATCAGGCAAACCTGTACCTGACAACCTGGCCAGGGACCCTCTTGCAGCTGTCCACGGTGAGGAAATGGAAGAAAGGGTTTATCCACAAGCACAGCGTGGCTAGGTGGCAGGGGCAGGGATCCCCAGTGCAGCTCCAGAGCCCTGTCTCTCACCACACCCAGACTTCACGCAGATGCGGCCTAAGGCACAGCCAGCCTGAGGGACTAGAGTGATTTTTATTGTTTACTAGCAACTGGGAGGGAGGGTTTGGAGCACAAGACAAAGAAGCCAGTCACCGCCCCTCTCAGCCTGGTGGAGGTCGGCCTTTCGGATGAGTGTAAAGTAAATATTTGGAAAACACCAGTAGAGTGCAAGCTCTAGGAACGCCTGGGTTGGGAATCTCCCTGGACGGAGAACACGCTTTGGTGTAGGGAAGTGTAAAGGTGCTCTTCACACCTTTATACTCTGAGGGTTCTCAGTAACCACAAGTATTGGGCTCTCCAGGGACTATATCTTGTCTTGAGCAACCTATATTCTGATAGTGTGTCAAAACGGCTGTCAGGCTTTCCTTTTCTTCCCTAAAAAACTCCCTTGTCCTTTTTCATACACTACAAGCTTGAGAAGACCCCAAAAAGCACAGGGAAAGGCTGGGCCCAAATCTACCAGTTTCTCCAAACTCCAGGCAATGCCATTCACATGGCCTCTGCACATGTCATGATGCTGGGTGGGGGTGAGGGTCAGGGGATGGACGATGGATGGCACCCCCTCTCCAGTCGGACTTGAGCTTTTTCTTGTTCCATGACTTCCACGAGGTTCTTCTTTGGCAGCCCTTGGGGGTACCAGGCTCCTGGTTCTGCAGAAATCTGTTTGCTGACTTGGTCCTGATATTCTGGGGAGCTTGTTAAAATTCATTCTCCATCCCCTCCCCCTCCCTTAGCCCTACTGCTTAGACTCGTGGGGGTGAGAGCTCTGAACATATTTCAAAAAAGAGAGATGCACATATTGTAGGAAATTTGAACAGCAGTGCAGTCACCTGGGCAGGTTGTGGAACAGGAAGTTGAGGTAGAGAGGAAGTAAGCGTGCGTGACTGGGCGGCGGTTACAGCTGTGTGGCAGGCAGGCGGGGTTCTGTGGTGCTGGCGCATGGCTGGTCACACACCACTGGGGGTGGCAAAGGGATGTGTCGTGTGAATCCTGGTGAGCGTATGGAGGCAGAGTCTGGGTAGGTGCCGCTACGCTAGCAGGGTGGGGGCAACTTGCTTCTCCCCCTCTTCCATGCTCCTCGAGTGCTGCCTGGAAACTGCACCATGACCCTGCAGTGCCCCACTCGGGGGGCTAGTGGTATCCGTTGTGTTCATGAGACGTGGGGAGCATGTTAGTGTGGGGAACGGTGGTCCCTCCAGAGCTGTTATGGCACACAGAACTTGGTCCCTTGTCTGAGTGTAGATTGTCTCTGCTGTGCCTGAGGGGTGTCTTGGGATTGACCGTGGAGTAAGACAGGAGGAACTCTGGCCTTCACTCGCTTGGTCAAGGACCTCGGGTCTCTTTAGCCATGTCATAAGTCTTTCTTCTTAGTTGACCTTTGATGATGACGTTCACCAACCCACAGACCTCCTTTCTGAACAATGGAACAGCCCCTTGGGCCTGGGCACCCACTGGAGTTAGTATGTGAGGAGGGGAGGGAGAATTCTGGAGCACCAGTGAGCTCAGAGAGGAACAATGTAAGGCAGGCCCTGCTCCTAGGTCCAGCTCCTCCCAGCTCCTCCTCTGCATTCCTTGGGAGGGAGGGGGGTGGGACACACAGGTGGCATGTGTGTAAAGGAGTGTTGGGGGAAAATATGCAGAACTGGATCTTGAAACCAGGCTTCTCACGTTCTGTGAGGTTGAGTGGGTCTGGATAGGTGCAGCTGCCCAGCGCAGGACGCTTGCCCGTCCTCCCCGAGTACACCGGCATTTCTTTTTCATGAGGGGAGGAAGCTCTCATCAGGGTGATGACTACTCTCCTAATGAGCAGGACTCCTTGTCTGCCAGGGTTGTCGTAGCAAGAAGTCAGAGGCCTTTGGGAGCCCTGGACTGGGTGGCTGGGGGGTGTGTGAAAGGATTTGGTAAGTGACTTTCCAGAGTCCCTGGGTGAGGGAGGTCAGACCTCCTGCTTCTCTGCAGGGCAGGGACCCTTGATAGGTACAGCCATGCCTCGGGCCCTTATCCCGTGGAGGGGCGGACCATTCCTTGGCAAAGTTACAACTCTCCGTTCTCCACGGTGCTCCTTTATTGTGAGCCCCTTGCACTAGCTTCTCGAGCAAGGTCACAGCCCTCTCTGCTCAAGAGAACCTGAAGCCCTCTTTCAGTCCACAGCAGGATGACTAGGCCTGCGTAATTGAGAAATTGTTTTATTGCCATTGTCACCATTAGAAATAACTGCCTGCCTTTATTGTAAAAGAGGTCAATGTGACTAATATTTAATGGATAAATAAAGCACAGCTTTTTCCTGACTTCAGCTTACGGGAGATTTCACTAACCAGTTCAAAACGTTTTACTAGGTCCTGGGGCGCAGGGGCTGGGTGGGGCGCTAAGTGAGTGGGTCTGGGCGGCGTTTAGATGGGCTGGGGTCAGGGAGACCCAGCAAGCCTGGCCACTGAGCTATGAGTTTGGTTTGTTTGTTTTAAAATAAAAGCTTCAGAGTGAAAGAGGTCGTGGAAACATTTGCAGGATGAGGTTGTTTTTGCATCCACACAGACTGCCTCCGAGAGAAAAGCAGGCCAGGGGGCTCATCTTTGCTGCCCGTCTCCCCGGGAGGCAGGAATAGTGGTACCTTGGTCCGAAGGCTGGACGCAGTTACGGATGGGGGCGCTGCTCACTGGGTGGCTGTGGGTGCCAGGCACTAGGGGAGTCTGTTCCTGAGGAGCCGGGGAGTCGCTGTGGTGGTGGTGCCCTGCGTGGCAGGCTTAATACGGTCAGACAATACGGACAGTGGGGCCCACTGCTGCAAAGTGTCAGAGTTGTCAATCGGCCTGATGATCAGAGCAGGGCCTCTGGATGCCAGTCCACGCCAGCCCTTTCCCAGGAAGGGGACGTCCTCATTCAGGATCCCACCAAGAATTGGGAAAGATCTCAACTAAAGGCTATTTCTGGCCTCCACTCTTGTGTTAGATCAGAACCCACATGTGAACAGCAAGCACCAGCCCTCCCTGAAGGGAGGAAAGTGTGAGTGTCAAAACCAAAAGTTGGAAGAGCTGCGCCCACAGCCCCAAGCTTTGATCAAACTGCAAAATCAGGTCCTGGAGGCACTGCTTCCCGATTCTTGGTGGGATCCTGAATGAGGACGTCCCCTTCCCGGGAAAGGGCTGGTGTGGACTGGCGTCCAGAGGTCCTGCTCGGACCATCAGGCCGATCTGACAATTCTGAGACTTTGCAATAGTGGGCCCCACTGTCCGTATTGTCTGCTCCCTGTAGCTAACACTGATAGACAGCAAAGTCCACACATCCAGCTGTTTGTCATTTTTACCCTCTAGTGTCACCAGCAGAAGGTTCCTGGGCCCTTTGGACTTACAAATGTCCTTGTGAGCTTGCATCAGTGTCTTGAGAACAAGGAGAGATAGAACGTTGATCCCTTTCACACCCAACATTCAGCATACTCTTGGCCCCACCCCCATCAGAAACGAACTGTCCTTTGGGTGACAGAGCACATCACACTGGTTCCTGGGAGAACTGTAGAATTTCTGCAGTGGGTGAGATGGGAAGTGTTGGAGGCAGCAGCCCTAGTGACAGGCAGTGCGGGGCTGCGGGCATCAGAAGGGTGACTGTTGAGGACCTAGCTGTCTGGGATTTAATGAGTCTTGGCCAGTCGGCAGCATTTAAAATCTAGGTTCTTGCTAAAGACACTAGGGTGCTCGGGTGTACCCAGCAGGTGGGGCAGGGGGCTGTGGCTATGTCCTGTGTGCTGGGAAGAGCCTCAGGGCCAAGATCTAGGTGACTCCTGCCCTTTTCTTGCTTCCTTTGGAAACCTGTATCCCTAGAACTGTTTTCAAATGTTAGTAACAGTGTTTAGTTAGAGTCTGCATTTTGTTCTCTGACTACTTCCCCTTGCTGAAACAAAGATCTGTCCCCATTAAGCCATTGCTTAGTGTCACCCCGACCCCACCCCCAGCCCCTTGGGTGGTCCTTGGAGAGAGACAGCCTGTGCTGGACCAGGTGATTGCCACTTACCATTGGAAGGGGTCTTTTTTAGGCAAGACAGTGCATGCAATTTCAACCTGTCATCATGGCTAAATTCTAATAAAGAGAAAAGTATTTCATTTCAGAAAAGGAAAGCCTGCATACTTCAGGCTCATAATCTCAGCCCAGGTCAGATTTCCACCTGCCTCTCCCTGCAGAGACTTATCAGATAGCATTCCCCTAATTGTGTGTTCTCTCTCCCCCAACTCTCCCTTGTCTCCCTCCCCCACCCTCCCACCCCCATTTTTCTTTTCCTGTTTCTGGATGTTTGGAAACTGCAGAACTCTGTTTGGAAATAAGATCAAATCCGTGGCTAAGAGAGCATTCTCAGGGCTGGAAGGCCTGGAGCACCTGTGAGTATCTGCCAGACCTTCCCCGCCCACAGGCCTGCCAAATGTGGCTGCTGGGGAAGTCTGCTAGCAATTTAATAGCATCTTTGTAAACTGAGAAACAGGCTATTTGGAAACGCCAGCTGCTTCCTTCTCATTAAATAAGTCAGCTTCAACTTTGGCCTTTATTTTGCTTGTGCCAGGAACAGTTAGAGAACATATGGCTAGTCGATGAGCTCTCAATTTAATGCAATTGGTATTTGGCTAAATACCCTCCTTCCTCCTGCTGCTGCACCACTGCCCAGCTCCTCCACAGGCTCCAGAGCTCCTTCCCATTGCACCAGGGTGCTGCACTCTGGCCCCAGCTGAGGCCCTCACTAAAGCAGCTAAGCATCGCTACATCTCCGGCATACCTGGGAGGTCTAGTGTGGCCCCTGGGAGAAGGTTGGAGCCTGCCCGGAGGCATTGGCATTGTCACCCTCTGGGGCCCATAGGCCTCTTAAGTACTTGACTCTAAGTCTTTGAGTCAGGTTTGACCTTAATTCTTTTGGGAAGGATTTTGCTTGTTTACTTGCTGAGCAGCACTCAACCGGACAGTGCCGCGAAGGCTGGCCTGGCTCCAGGGCTGCTCAGCACATGGGAAGCGATAGCCACTTACAGTGCAGTTGGGACATGGGTCTGGCAAGGATCTGTGGTTCTTGGGCAAAACCAGGGCTATCCAGAATAATCCAGAGCTGCTTGACTCAAGCATGCAGCTGACATAAAGGGAAGGAGGGGTTTCTGTGCATCGGTAAAGAGTGCTCTATTACAGGAATCTTGGAGAAAATGCGATCAGATCTGTCCAGTTTGATGCCTTTGCGAAGATGAAGAATCTCAAAGAGCTGTAAGTACCTGAATTCTGTGGCTCACGTTAACATGAGTTGACAATTTCAGACTAAAACCCCTTAACTGCATTATGCCTCATTTTATATAATATTGGTCATGGCTAATAATTGTGTGTTTTTAAAAAAAAAAGCCCTGTTTGGGTATATTGTGGATCAGGGGCCATGGTACTGGGTCATGGTGCTTGTTCTTACAGGGCCACGTGGCAAATACTTTCAGGTGGTGGTCAACAGGTTCTGTCAGAACAATTCTGTTGCTACAGCATTAAGCAGCCATAAACACATAAGCCAATGGGCATGATCACACTAGTAAATTCCGATTTACAAAAAGAGGCAGTGAGCCTTTTGCCAGCGGCTCTTCTGTGATGGGAAATGGACTTTTCTACAAAATGGATAATCACATCTTAATTATGTCAAGGACCAGTCTTTATAGTTTTACTTTTAAAACAAAGGCCCTACATTGAGAGGGGTTCACTGAAAAGTTTGGTGGACTGATTGTGGCAAAGGCACTTATGGTATAGTGACATGGAACCTTGTGCACCCTTGTAGCCAAGGCCCAGAGTAGTTTTGGGGTATGCTGCTGCCGCCACACACTCCTCTGAGCTTTTGGGGTGACAGGTTGGAAGAGCTGATCTGTTGCCCAAACTCTGGCAGAGGAGTGGGCTAGGTACTCAGGTAGCAATACCTACATGTCCGTTCTCCTGCCTGCACATAAATATGGTTCTGGAGACAGTACGTTCTACCTGTAACCTTAGTTCCCTGAAGTTGTAGGCTTTGGTTCCTACAAGTGCCAACCAAAAGCTGGACGGCACAAGATAACTTTCTTTGCACCCCGACTTTGTCCTCATCTTGGTAGATCCTAGATGCAGCTGAGGCGGGCAGGAATGGGGAAACGGAGAGGCACAGGCCTGCGGCTGAGACCCAGATGAGTGCCTGGGTACTCAGGCACTCCCTTACCCGTATCTGCGGGTAAGGGAGGGCAGGGTAGGTGTCCTGGGCACCTGCTTACATGGTTTTGTTTGCTGTAAGTTTCAAGTGTGTCAAATTGGTGCTCGTGCCTTAGAAGGATGCTTTCTTAGAAGGGTCTTGGAATGGGAGCCTGTATGGGGTTTCATGAACCCTGAGGAAAAGCTGCTACACCCTGAACACCTTCCCTCCTTACAGCTTGCTTGTTTCCTGGGTAGACACTCCGAAGGAGGATGCCATAGCTCAGAGGAGGTGATTAATAAAAGAATGGGCACACGGGATAGATAAGTGACCAGACGAGTAGGACAGTGACCATAAAACCTAAGTGATGAGTACGAGTGCTCACTCCACATGTAGTGGAGGTAAAGATTTGGTTGTAGAAGGGGTTTTTTCTTTTGGCCTCCTAGGAATTCAGGTTTTCTGTGACAAACTTTCCTGGTACATGGACCCTCCCCGCTTGGTGCTTCTGAACGGTCCTGGAGGCTCAGCCCTGGCCCCCGCCTGTGTTTCCCATCAGTCACTGCACATGCCCAGCTGGGGCTGGACCCGGGCCCAGGCCCCTGATGGGGAAATGGTTAATTCCTCTTGGTCTTTTTCTTTCCCTGTCAGATCAAGGCAGGTTGTACTGCACCCTTAGTCATCCTCTGGGTAAATTTCCACCAGCACTGATTAGAAACACACTTCGAGTTGGAGTCATGAAAATGCACAATGTAAGCCAGCTGGGTGTCGCGGTGGCTGGAGGCAGGAGTCATGGAAGGCCCTGCCTGTTAGCAGTTGACAAGGTTGTGTTTGTAGCTGGTGGAGGAAGAGTGGAGGAATCTGCAGAGCCCTAAGGCGCAGTCTCTCAACCTAGCCTTTGTCTAAAAGCAGCTGGGGCTTGGGAGGTCAGGGCCCAGTATCCTCACTATTTGGCTCTATTTCCTTTCCATCTGTTCCGTTGGTTCTAACTCATCCTCTAGGAAAGCCTTCTCTCTACCCTGAGGCAACTGAGGTCTAGTCTTCTCTGAGATGGGTTGCATTGTGGAGGAGGAAACTTTCTCAAGGGACGAGACCTGACAAGTATATTGTGGTGAGAGCCTGAACCCTTCTACATGCCTTTCTGATAAATGACAAATTTGTTTGCCTCAGTTTGTTCTGGTGACAAAAATGAAATATGGTTTTGTCCCATACGCAGGTGTCTAAGATCTCATAGTGGCAGCCTTCTGTCTTCCCCTAGGCGTCTGTAAGCACGTCCCAGGGACAACGGAGAGGGGCGGTCAGGTCACAAGCCCCTTAGATGGGAGCCATAGCTGCCGGACAGTGGGGTGGGCTCCTTTCCCCTCCCCCATCGCTGCCGCGTCTCCCTGAGCCAGCGCACACAGCACACAAGGCCCAGCCTGGGAGTTCTGCGTGTGCTGAGGGGGGTGGCTGCTGCCCTGTGCCAAGCTGCCACCTCTGGGGACTCGAGGGGGTGCCCTCCAGGTACTTTTGTGCACAGAGCTGCCTGCCTGTCAAAAGAAGGTACAAACTCAAATGCTGATTTTAAAGTGAAAGATGGGAAAGCCATCCCAGCTAGAATGGCTTAGAGATCAGTATTTCAGTGTTTGAGAGGGCACTTCCCAAGGGATTTTAGTTAAGATGCCTAACCAACCTGAATGTGATGGGAAACAGGAGAGAAGAGTGATTTTACTTGTTTTACTCATCCTTCAATTATTTGGCTTAAATTTCGTTTTTCTTTGCTGTTCTCACTAGCTTGATGATTTTTCAGCTCATTAGAATTTTGGAGTGAAACAGAAGAAAACAGGCTGCTCCTTTGGTCACTGTGTCGATGTCTGGGGAAGAGGGTGGCAGGGGAATGAGGCTATCGCTTTTACACTGGCCAGTGGGACACTTTGGGAGCTTTTGAGCATATGAGCACCTCCTTTGCGTCCTGTGTCCCAGCAGCAGTGTGTTCTAGGCCGTACATCTTCTCTCCTGTCTTCATCTTGTCATGGACTGGTCTCTGTTCCTCAGCTCAGGGCCTTGAGGTCTTCCAGGAACAGGGCAGCGAGACTCTGGTAGACTTATCTCTGAGTGACTCTTCAGGAAGGAATGTCCGCTGAGATGGCAATTCCGATTTCTGTTGAAAAAACTTATCCTCAGTTGCTGAGAAATGAAAAAGAAAATATTCTCTGTTTTGGTTGGAGCCTCACAAAACCAAAGTTGTGCATTCTCATGCTCCCTGGGCAGTGGTAATTAACTAACAAGCACTATTCAGGGAACGCAGCCGAATCCTGCTATCCCAGCATCATGCTGGTGTGGAGATAAATACACAAACAAGTGGGGAGCACGCTGGCAGGGCTTGCACTGGAAAGGAAGAAAACAAACAGCTTTGCAGATTAGAAAATAACAGCCATATCGAAAAAGCACCCTTCTCAGAACTTGTTTCCAAATTTTGCTCAAAGTCAGATTGAGTTTGGAGGCTTCAGGTAGCTCTGGAAGTGAGAAAAGTAGAGGGGGCAGTGCCACTCATCTGTTGGTGGCCAGAAGGTTCCAGGTGTCACACAGAGCCCTGTCCGAGAAGGTGGATGAGCTCCAAGTCGCAGCTGCTCACCAGGGCCTCACACTGGCAGTGCCAGCATCACCTGGGAGACCTGTTAGCAACGCAAAGTCCCAGGTTCTCACCCTGACCTGCTGAAGCAGAACTTTATTTTATTAAAATCTCCAGGGCTGCTGGGGCCAGTGCACAGGAACCCTGAGAAAAGTCACATCCAGTCCAGGCTGACGGTGCGAATGGCAGAAGCTGATCAGAGGCCCTGGGTACTGAAGAAACATAATCTTTCCTGGGCACACACCCCCAAATCAGTTTTGTTTTTCTTTCAGTCATATCAGCAGTGACAGCTTCCTGTGTGACTGCCAGCTGAAGTGGCTGCCACCGTGGCTACTGAGCAGGACACTACAGGCCTCTGTGACAGCCACCTGTGCTCACCCGGAGTCCCTGAAGGGCCAGAGCATTTTCTCTGTGCTGCCAGAAAGTTTCGTGTGTGGTAAGACAGTCCCTGAATGTTTTGTTTTGTTTGCACAAAGGGCGAGGAGACCAGAGAGGAACTCTTCACTGTGGGAGTGAGTCCTGTGATCCTATTAAACCCCAGCCCATGGTTACCAGTCAATTGCTGGATGCAAGTTGTTTGCCACTGAAACCACACACAGTGTTTACTATATGGTGGCATTTTGTGGTTATTGGAGAACATGCATTTAATCAGGAGGGAGCATGAGCTGGTTGAATTACAAATCTGAATAATCAATTACAGGAAGGGAGTTGTGTTCTTGAGGGCTCTGTGCCTGAGTTTAGCTGTGAAATTACTGGTGTATGAGACTGGGGTTTTAGCGTGTGTTTCTTTCCAACCCAAGAATTAAAGGTTAAATACAGGAAGGACAAATCTCAGGAGAACAGTTGCTGTAGTAAAAATAATTCCTTGATGTTGACTTGGACTCTTGCTGTTCCTCCAAACCACTGAAATCTGCACTTGTAACTTTACATTCCTTTTCCTTTTGAATTACCAGACTGTAGCCTGGTCATCTTTTTAACTAGGGGTGGTCAAGATCCAGGTTTGGTTGCACAGAGCTCAGAAAAAAAGCTGAACACCGCCCCTACCCCTACCCCCCTCCACACATACCAACCCACAAGACTCTTGTGGTCAGAAAGATATGATGGAAAAATATGATGAATTTTGAGTTGTTGCTGGTTTCTGCTCTAAGTGGGAATGAAGGGGTTCCCAGGTCTCAGTCACCTCCAGGTAGGTGCGTGTCTCCTCTGTCTTCTGTCCCTCAAGTCCTCCCTGAGCTTTGGAACCCCTCCTGTGGTGATTGTGAGTCATTATGGAAAATGGAGTGTGGAATTGTATATGCTACTGTTTACACCGTCTGTTAATGACTTCAGTTTTGTCAGTTTTTCTTCAAATTTTTATAATTTTTGTCTTATTGATGAATTGAACATTCTAGGTCATTCTTTCTAGGATCAACCCATTTTCATCTATTTTGTCTTATATCTCCTGTAGCTTTCTTTAATTTTGTATTAAATAGACACCTGTAGTATACCATTTTAATTCCCTTGTTTCATTTAGTTTTATTAGTAGTTACCATGGAGACTATAACATCTTTAGACAATCTAGTTGAGATTAAGAATGAAATTCAACCATGTTCAAAATTATGCTCCTATTAAAGTGCCATGTTGCTCTTATTGTCATACAACTTAACGTCTTTATATGTTATAAACCCATCAGTAGTTTTAAAATTATGGGATTACATCATTTCATTTTAAATTAGATCAGAAAAGGTTACAAAGAAAAATGCATGAATATTGCGTATCTGTGCTTTCCTATGTAGTTATCTTTCTTTCTTTGGGTGGATTCGAGTTGTCATGCTTTCATTTCAGCCTGATGAATCCCCTTTAGTAATTTCTCATAGGGCAGGTGTAATAAACAGTAGCAAAGATGTTTTGTTTTTGTTTTTAAATTTGAGAATGGTTGATTTCTCCATCTTCCGAGGTGCTGTATGTGGGATTTCTAGTTGCCTTTGTCTTCTTTCTGCTTTCTGGCCTGCATGGGAGGAATTATCTGTTAATGCTGAGAAGCCCCAGTAATCAATGAGCTGCTGCTTTTACTGCCTTCAAGATTCATTGCCTTTGACTATGAATTTTCTTGGTGTGGTTATCTGAGTTTATTCTTTTTGGAGCTCACTGATGTCAGATGCATGTTTTTCATTGAATTTGGGACATTGGAGACATGTCATCAATTACTCTGTTCTTCTTGGACTCCCATTATTTGTGTTACTATGTTTGATGCTGTCCCACAAATCTCTGGTACTGTTTATTTTCTTTTCTTGTTTTTTCTCAGAATGGATAATCTCAATTGACCTGTCTCAAGTTCTCACACTCTCCTGCCAGCTCAGTTCTGTAGCTAAAACCCTTCTAATGAAGCTTTCATTTCAGTTGTTGTATTTTAAATTCTGAAATTTATATTTATCTCATTTTTACAATTGCTGTCTCTTTATCAGTACTCCTTACTTGCTGACAAAGTATTCACATACTTTAATTCTTGTAGACCTGAATTCCTTAGGTCTTTGAACATACGTATAAAACCCTTTCAATCTTTGTCTGGAATTCAAGGGCAGTTTCTCTTGAATGCTTCTTTTCCTATTTCTTTGCTTGTTTTATAACTTTGAAGTCCCCCCAATTGGGCATTTAAAATCAAATAGTGGTGGCAACTTTATAAACCAGATTCTCCCTCTTGTCTAGACCATGGAGCTAGGAAGACTTAGAAAAAATGGAAAATGCCTCAAGGCTGGCTTTTCTTAGTACGATTTGGGTATTTTGATTAGTACTCCAGGGATTGTTGTAAGCCTTTTGTTCTTTTCAAGAATTCTGGAAAAACTGATCTATGGCTGCTTTTGCTAGTGTTATTACTTTACTGGACATGCAAATATTTTCAAGGCTTTCTTCCTGACATCTGAAGTGCACCATGACCTGCTTCTTTGGAAATACGATCATGGAGTCCTGACTAATAACTCCAGGCTATGTTTTGTTAAAAGTAAGCAGGTAAAGTCAAGTGCTGTCCTCTTGTAGAAGCCACTTGTTGATTTGATAATTGAGCCCTGGTGGATTTGTTTTAATCAAGGCATACATACCATTAGAGGTGATAATAGCTCAGAGTTTTATGTATGGTTGAGAGCAAATATCCAAGGTATATCCAAATATCCCTTAAAATGTTTGAAGGAGCTGCAGAGGCACTGGGACCCTGAAAGGTCTGTTCCTTACTCAGCATCTGACTGAATTTGTTAGTTTAAATGGCAGCTGGGTGCTCTGGGAGGTAAGTAACCACAGCTGGCCCTTATCCCCTCAGATGACTTCCCCAAGCCGCAGATCATCACCCAGCCAGAGACTACCATGGCTGTGGTGGGTAAGGACATCCGGTTCACGTGCTCAGCAGCCAGCAGCAGCAGCTCCCCTATGACTTTTGCCTGGAAGAAGGACAACGAGGTCCTGCCCAATGCCGACATGGAGAACTTTGCCCACGTCCGAGCACAGGATGGGGAGCTGATGGAATACACCACCATCCTGCACCTGCGTCGTGTCACTTTTGGGCACGAGGGCCGCTACCAGTGTGTCATCACCAACCACTTTGGCTCCACCTACTCGCACAAAGCCAGACTCACAGTGAATGGTATGGAAGTGTTACCTTTCTATTCAGGACCAAGAGCCCAGTGAAACACTGCTGGTGATCTTACGTAGGCAGAGATGATTGAGCAGGAGAAATACAGGCTTCACTGGAATAGTAATATTTGACAATACTGGGATATCATGCTTGGGTTGCCTGGGTTTGTACAAAAACATACCTTATAGGTTAAAACATTATTCTCAGTAGATTATGTTTATTGGTGATTTTTAAAATACAGTTACTATGTTAAGTGGAAATTCAGGACCAAGCCTTGGGTGTTTAGCAATTTATCACCGTCCATAAACCAAGATGTCTGGTACCTGGAATCTAAGCTTGCCCTGATCCTGGGGAAGCTGCTGCCCTCTCAGTAGCCGGCACAGCTGAGTCCAGCCCAGGTGCTTTGCACTACCGAGGCTGGTATGCACGCCAGCTTGACTGCAGAATGGTTCTGGGGATGTTTGACAAGGATTTTTGTTTTCTCAGTAGAGACCATAAAAGTGGCTTTCTTCAGACTATTTCTGTTATTCAGGTCTATTCTATAGCTTATTACAATAGTGGAATTTAGAGTAAAGATAGCGGTAACTAGCTTGAGGAGCTGACCACCTTAGTAACCTAACAAGATTTTCCTAAACACTGATTTCCAAGTAGAATTTGGCTAGGAGTATTCAGGCGTGCTGTAACCTCTGTGCTCTTTAAGGCCTCCAGACCACACTTTGGCTGGGTTGTCATGGCTTTTTCTGAGGGATTCCTCATTGTTTCTTAAAAGCCCAGTGTACTGCCAGAGGCTCCCACCAGGGTAATCTTCATAGGCAGTGTAGTGATGCATGCTATGTGGCTGGATGCTGCCACTGTGCTAGAAATACTTGGGTTCAGTGAGCTAATTAAACAACCCTGACCTCATGTGCAGCCCGCCACCGTCCCTCCAAGGTGGGTTTCTTCAAGAGGGGAAAGTCATCGGATTGGCTTCCTCACGGGGAAGTAGTTACGTCAGTAGTTACATCTGGATGGAGCAGCCATTTTGTTTCCCAGCCTCCCTCCTGGTGGTTAACTAAGGCATGCTGCTATCTACTCACATTTACTAGCACCCCATTTATAGAGCGGTTACCATATATAGGGTGGAAGGGAAATGTTCCCTAAAAAGCTTTACATTTTAAGGGTGCTAGCCCCAAGTGTGCGATGAAACTGACGCACCCCTCCTGCAGCAGGGAGAAGCCCATCTCTTCCAATTGAATGTCGGTGTCCATGGTCCCAGGCAGATACTGGCAGAAGGTTGTGAGGTGGTGAACAGATACCACCAGGGTGCTGCTTGCCAGAGGGTCTCCCAGCTTTCAAATACCCTGATGCTCTACACATGTGTTTTGCAGTGTTGCCATCATTCACCAAAATGCCCCACGACATTGCCATCCGGACTGGCACTATGGCCCGCCTGGAATGTGCTGCCACCGGCCACCCTAACCCCCAGATTGCCTGGCAGAAAGATGGAGGCACAGATTTCCCGGCTGCCCGTGAGCGACGTATGCATGTCATGCCAGATGATGATGTATTTTTCATCACTGATGTGAAAATAGATGACATGGGGGTATACAGCTGCACCGCCCAGAACTCAGCCGGCTTCATTTCAGCAAACGCCACCCTGACTGTCTTAGGTTTGTCTACTGATGCACCGAGTGTGTGTGTGTGATCTGTCATCAGTATGTCAAACTGTTCATAGATTGGGAGTGGGTACATGTGGGGACTTATTTCTAATTGTTTAAAAATTTGGACTGCTTTCTAGAACTTTCTTGAACAAGCAATTTACCTCTTAAAAACAGCTAGTGAATGATGGGAGTCTTGGTAGGGCTTGGGTCAAAAACACTAAATAATTGCCCTCTGATTGGGGCAGGATGGCTGTGCCCTTGACCAAAAAGAAGTAGGTGCTTCTGTGGCAGCGCATTCTTCTTCCTGGTTGAAGCCCTGCCCAGCAGGCTCCACTGTGTTAGGTCTTCCAGAAAGCTGCTGGTTCTGACCAAAGGCCTCCCCTGGCATTGCACTGATGGGTTGGGGATTGCCCTTTATCCAGAACTCACAGCAGATGTACAGCAACTGAGGCCCACACACTAACCCTAAGATTTCCCCGATTCTTACAGAAACCCCGTCCTTAGTGGTGCCCTTGGAAGACCGTGTGGTGTCCGTGGGCGAGACGGTGGCTTTCCAGTGCAAAGCAACTGGGAGTCCGCCACCCCGTATCACCTGGCTCAAGGGGGATCGCCCGCTGAGCCTCACTGAGCGACACCACTTCACTCCCGGGAACCAGCTGCTTGTCGTGCAGAACGTGGTAGCGGAGGATGCGGGCCAGTACACCTGCGAGATGTCCAATGCCCTGGGTACTGAGCGAGCCCACAGCGTGCTGAGCATCCTGCCCACCCCTGGTTGCAGGAAGGATGGGACCACTGTGGGCATTTTCACCATCGCTGTGGTGTGCAGCATTGTCCTGACATCCCTGGTCTGGGTGTGCATCATCTACCAAACTAGGAAGAAGAGTGAGGAGTACAGCGTCACAAACACAGGTCGGTAGGGCCGGCTGAGGGCACTTTCAGGGGGCTGCGAGAGCAGTGACATTTACGTAGGAGTCAGGTCTGGGGGGCTTTCTACAGTTTCAGTATATTTCGAATTCTAGTGCATTTGGAGCTATTCTTGATAGCTGAGGTTTGTTTTATTCACACTATTTTAACTCTCAAGGAGTTTAACAATCAAATGTGAATATACTTACATGTAAATTACAGCACAAACTAAGCAGTTTTTGGAGATGTCTCTGGCCTCAAACTTCTGATCGCCATGATTTTTATGCCTGGTATAGAGTAAAGCAGGTTCTGGGAGAACCACTTTACATAGTCTCTGACTGGTTGGGCGATCCTAGTTCGGGGTTGACAATGTATATATGTCAGGACTCACTGCCATTCCTGAAGTTAGACGGTTTTCTCTTCTTGCAGATGAAACCATTGTGCCTCCAGATGTTCCAAGCTACCTCTCTTCCCAGGGGACCCTTTCTGACCGACAGGAGACCCTGGTCAGGACTGAGGGTGGCCACCAGGCCAAGGGGCACATGGAAAGCAACGGTAAGGCCTCCTCCCCAAGGGGCGCATGTCATTAGGGCATGTTTGCTGAAGTGGCAGTGACCAAGGGCTCCTGTTGGGGTGTTTGGATCTTGCCTATGCAAGTTCTACGAGGTTTTAAAACCCGATGCCCCAGGACGTAAACACTGGGATTCACATGTCCTAGTCAAGGTGGGAGACCTGTTTGCATATAGCTGCATTTTTTGAACAGGAGAAGTAGATACCTTTGTGTTCTCATCCTACAAAATTCTCAAGGGTGATTACCTCAGTGGGAGACTGAACAGTTGCTTAGGGCAAGCTTATTTTCCTAAGAATTGGTCATCAACACAGCCCTGAAGGCCTACCTCGAAGGTACTATTATAAAAGCCCCTGCTGGATCTCTTTGTGATAAACCCAAAAATGTAATCTAAAGACATTTGTTAGAGTAGTTTTGCTCACATAACATTTACTTTGCGGTGCTAAGCTTGGAGTATATAATTGCATTTGATGTGTTACAGGTGTTTGTCCAAGAGATGCAAGCCTCTTCTCAGAGGTGGACGCGCATGGCCTTGCATGCAGGCCGGCCAAGTTGTGTGTGGGATTTAATAAGGAAGCACATAAAGTGATGGAGACAGTTGATGGCACAACTGGGGCACAGAAGACAGGTATGAGATGCTTCTATTAAGAAAATATTTTGAAGTGTGGGCTGACCTCTTAGATAAATGGGAGAGACATGAGTGCTCTGAGGCTAACTTTCTAATTTTAACCAGGACAGAGGCCGGTCCTTGGGTGCACAGGGATATTTAAGAGTGATGGCCACGGGGCTGGTTCTAAGCTTTCTAATGCCATCCACAGAGTACAGCGGTCCAGCCACAGGTATCAACTGCAGCACTGATCCCAAGGAACAAGCCTGCTGCCCACAGCCAGTGTCCAGAGACAGTGCACAGCTAGGTGCAGGGAGCACCCTGGATCTCAGTCAGCAGGACCAAGAACACACTCCCCATCCTGCAAGCAGTGGAACTGCTGAAGCTTCCCGCTCTGACTCTAGGGGCGGCCTCTATCCCAGTAACCATGACAGAATGCTGCCATCTGTGAAGCAGCAGCCCGTGGGGCCCCTGGATGGGAAAGGTAATTTTACAGCTTCAGAGACACCACCGGGGGGAAAGGAGGGAGGGGTGACGGTGGGCTGGAGAAGCTGATGTGCCCTCTCCTGTCCATAGGAGCCTTCTCTAGGACTTTAACAAGATTGTATGAGCCAGACTCCATGGGCCTCCTGCCTTCTTGTACATTGACTCCGGGCACTTCCCAGCTCACCTTGGGTTTCCCCGATGTCCCCAGTGAAGGCCAGCACTTGCTTCTTTCAAATGGACACCTCCCCAACGCATGTAACTCTAACCCTGAGTCTGCACCACTGACCGGACAGCTCCCCGGGAAACGGAGCACGCCCCTGCTATTTGCACCGAAAATCTAGGCTTTGTCTACCTCCGCCCTTGTTGTCTATCTACAGGAGAGAGGTAGGAGAGGTTCTGAGGAAGCTTGGGTTCAAGCGTCACTGATTTGTATATAGTTTTAACTTCCATGTGGAGTATCACTAGTTTAAAGGACTTACCGCTGAAGCACAAAAATGCAAGGGGCTATTGTGTAAAAAAGACAGAAAAGTGTTTGATACCAATGTATATAAGAGTTTTCAGAGTTTTCATATATATTATATATCTTTTACAGAGGCTATTTTAATCCTTAGTGCATGGTTAACAGAAAAAAAAATCGTACCGTTTTCACAATATTTTTCCATATCAGGTTGCAGGGGTTTAATTTTGGAGCAGGGGTTGTTTCCTGGTGCCTTAATGGATTGATTAAAGTCAAAAACCACACGTGTTCCCAGGAGGTGGGAGGGATGCACCTATAGTCACCTCCTGTGCCGGCCCAGGTGGGTGCTCATTAAACAAACCTCCCTGATGAGCTTGGAGGTGCGGCTGTCACTTACCTTTGTAGTGAATGACTTTCTCACATGTTTAAATCCCCTAACAAGCAGAATGGGGGTTGTTACTCTTCCACAAGCAGTTGGTGCAAGTAACCACTGCTCCTCTACAATCTTTCTATGAGAAAAGCAAATGCAGTCTTTGAGGCTTTTTAGTAAGATGGAGGCTGCTAGTACCTGTGGATTTTTCAACAGTAATGTTGTAATTCTGCCAGTATAACTACCTTGGCCTGCAGGGAGGATGGCACCGGGGCCAGCTGGTTGGAACCGCCGGCCCATGTCCCTCCGAGCTGGGTTAGACTGCACAAGTCCTTCCCAATCTATTTGCACTTTTGAGATCTATAGCTAACCATCTTGTAAGTGCCAATGTGCGTGTTTCAGGAAAATCTACACTAAAACAAATTGATAGTCAAAAAGCTGAAGGTAGGTATGGACAAAAGGGTTACTTACCTATGTTAAATTTTACTGTCCGCTGTCATCACAATCCTAAAAGGTAAGAAGTTTAGAGTTTTGTTCTCAACACTTTGTTACTTCCACAAAATATGTGAATTTGCTGCTTCTGAGAGGCAATGTGAAAGAGGAAGTATTACTTTTATGTACAAAGTTATTTATTTATAGAAATTTTGGTACAGTGTACATTGAAAAACAAAATTAAAGTGACATTCACGTGTCTTTAATAAAAATTCATTTATAAATGTAAGTGTGTGGCTGGGATCATTAGTTGCCTTTCCTCCAAAAGGGAAAGAAAACTAAACAAAGCAAAACATTATTACTCAAGCTCTAAAATAGTAACCTTCCCATTTCACCTCTTTGATTGCCACTACTGAGCTTAAAAAAACTCCAGGCAACAAATCTTCTGACTTAGGAATGAAGAAACACTGTTTCCGGCCCTTCCTTTCACTCTGTGGGTATTATGAGTGCACCTCCTCTCCTCAGAGGGCCTGCCACACCCTCCCGCACACAGGATAGTTGGGCCACCGGACATTTCTCCATAAAATACAATTGTTTTTTTTAATCAAAAACAGCAGTCTGGTTACCCAACAGGAATGTATGTTATGCACCTGTAGTTCATTTTTTAAGCAAAACTATAAGCTTACACAATAGGAATTAACCCGAGAGAGAGACGCCCACCCACATACACTCTTCCCCCAATTCTACTATGTGCTCCCAGACTACCCATTTTTTGAACTTAGAACCATCTCTGGCTTCCACTGAATGCACTATCAGGGGCAGGAAATGAGAGATCAACCGTAGATCAAATGAAAGCTTTGCAGGGTCTCAACTCAATATTACCAGACACATTTATTAAGGGGTTCTGAGAAAATTGTTCAAAAGTGCCTCTGTGGCCATCGTTTTAAATTTCTGGCAAACAAACTGATGACATCATTCTAGCCGGCAGTGTGGAAGACAGAATCTCTGTTATAATATTAGCAAAACTGGCTTTCTGCCTGCGTTCTGTGGCTCAAATGGCCAAGCAGCTGCTCACCGGAAAGAGGCAGTTCTCACAGCAGTCATCTTTTTGAAAGTAGTGGATGTGGGGCCATCACTGATTCATGAACCTTCTGTACCAAGCTCCAACAGCAAGCTTCGAGTTTGATCGTAAGCACCCAGAAAGATGAAACCTCCCAGACTGATTGCTGCCATGCGAGGGAAGACACCTGCGAATAATCTAGAAGGAAAAATTTCAATTTTGTGTTTCTTTAAATAAAAAAGTTAAATTCCAACAGCTCTAGCTTGCTCAGCTCAACATACCATGCTCATTAAACCCCAAAAAGCATGCATAGTGCGCTTTTCCCTTTCAGAATAGCCCGACGGTACATTCCCAAGTAGACTTGTTTAAGTTGGAGGCCAGCTGTTGCCAGAGTGTCTAAATACCAAAGGGCTTACTTGGGAACACTCACAATTAACTAATTAGCCAAATAGTAACTGTTTCCACCACAGATTAAAACTTTTCAAATCATTTTTGTCTTTTAGAGATAATGAAATCTACTTTTTAAAAAAGGAGTCAGTCGACTGAATTCCAGGGGTGGCCGGGGACAGGTCCATCCTGGAGCCAGACGCAGCCTCTGGGGCTCGCCCACTCTGCTACCCTCTAGGACTCAGGAGCATTCTGTCTGACCACAAACAGGACGTAGGATTTCTGTACCTCACCTGCGGCCTTCCCCTTTAGTGAAGGCCAACATGGGAAGGCAGCAGCGGTTCCTCAGGGCCCATCTCCAGCATGGAGGCCAGTCACTGTCAAGGATACAAGCTGCTATTGGGGATCTGAATTCTGGGTTTATTCTTAAAAACCCTTCCACAGCTACGTAACAGGTCTTTATTCAACAGTGCTCCTTATGCCATCACTGCTAAAATCCCAGTGCTGCACGTGTGCTATGACTGCCAGACAGACGCATCCAGGAAGGGTCCCACACTCACTGGAGCGCAGTTTCCAGTACATGTTCCCTGCCTGTATTTCTCTAACGACTGAACCATTTTTTCGCCAGGGGTATCACTTCTCTAAGCACAAAAACCAAGCTACAAAAGTAGAACTAGATTCTGTCATAAAATGACTTTGGTTCGGGTCTAGGGAAGAAACCTGAAAATGGTCGAGTGATGCCCAAGCACTACAAGTGCTTGGCGGTACGGGGAGAACCTCCGTGACATGCGCCAAGGTGGACTGGAAGGACATTCCTGCTGCCTCATCAGGCCACCCGCTGTGTCCTTTCTGATCTGCAGGGAGAGGTCAGTCGGCCTCCCTGCCGGATTCAGCACTTCTGAGAAAAATGGGGAACTTCAACGTAGATTCGTGGGCTCTTATTTTAGTTAGCTAAGAATTTAAATCCGTAAGTAAAATATTACACGTGAAATGAGAACCTCTTTGACTTGTCCAGAAATAACCATAAAAATTCTATAAAAGACCAAAATACACTTGCAAGAAAAAAAGTTGTTTGGCTCAGCCAAACAGCATCGTGCACATTGTTTTAGTATGAGGTGGTCGGTGAGTGCAGAAAACTCTGAAAGTAGCACTTCGGCCACTGTGTCCTTCTGACCTGAAGACGCAGTACCCTCCCTGCCCTGCCCTGCAAAGAGAAGGGTGCTGGAGGAAAAGCTGAACAGGGCAAGACTACTGTCCTTTGCTATCCTACTTATTTCTAAAGCTGCTTCAGCTTCCATTACCAATGAGCTTAGCTGCTCCTGGCAACAGGCAGATGGAAGCAGCTTACGGTTGCACTCAATGACAATTGAACCTATTAACATAATTACAGCCTTAAAGTAGCATAATTTGTACAATGAGCACCCCAACCAAACTCGGGAGGCAGAGTGGGGCTGTGCTCTAATGACCAGAGATCCAGGGCAGTAACAAAAGCAAAGCATTTTGTTAGCATCATACCCAGCACACAGGGACGCTGTGGGTAAAGGATACAGTCAACACAGACAAAAAGCAGATTGACTGACAGAAGAAAAGTAAGGCACAGTGCAAGGTAGGCAGCCCACCCCTCTGCTTTCCAGCTCATGGACTGAATAGGCACGTGTATTTTGGGGAAACTAGTGTGCCCTAAAGCACATACTCCAAATACGTACCCAAACTTGGACACACATGTTGGCTTTCCCACGGGGAACACACACACAAATGCAAAGTGTCCTCACTTTAACCTGCCCCGAGAGCTCAGTTCCACTGGCCACCAGGCAGTGGGAATCCGGCTGCCTCAGGCAGTTAGGTTCAGGGCCACAAAGGACAGCAGGGTGCTGTGCATAGAAAGCGAACGGGGCGGTGGGGAGATGCAGCTCTGGGGCTAAGGCTGCCTGGAGCCACAGCTCAGAACAGTTGCCCCACACATGCAGGATCTTTGGCTTACTTTTTGTTAAGTTCTTGTCAAGTTACTTATCTTTTAGCATAGTAAGAGGAAGCGATTAACACTGTCAGATCTTAAGAAATTTGGCTGCCTCAAATACTCTGCTAAAGGACCACACTATTAGTACCAGCTCAAGCTTAAAGAAGCTTCCAGAAGATAAAAAAATTAACTGCATTTTTGCTTTAGACTGACAATGAGGTCAGAGAAAGGCTCTTGGTGCATTGATGGATGTATCCCCGTGCCAGTCTGCTAGAAGAATCACAAGCACACACTGCAAATAGTAGGACAGTGAAGACTTAGTTTCAAACACCTACTCAAGGCAACTGCTTTACTACAGTTCTTGTTGGTCGTGGTTTTGCTAATGATGTGATCCACCTGTCACCACATTCTCAAGAAAGGCAGAGGCTGCCACTCAATACCAGTGCAGGTTTTGACCGGTAGTTGCCAGGGGATGAAATATGCACAATTGAAATTGGGCAGTTTAAAACTGACTTCATGATGTAAACTACCACAGGCACCATCTCTTTGGCCCAATTCATTGTTGGAATCTTTTATCTGCTAAGTAAGTTACTTCAGAGTTCATTTTTTTCCCAAGCCATTTCCTTGCTCCAATGTGGAATCAGTGCCCAATGTGTCTCAGTGACGAGCAGCCAATTTCTTATATCCTCAACACATAGCAGTGGCTGCCTGTTGGCACATAAACCAGCCCTCTGCCTTTCCCGCCGCACTGATTCCTTTCTGCAAAACCCAGTCCTGGTCCTTCTTCAGGAAACCAGCATCAGTCCATGAGAAGAGTCACATTCAACAGAATCATCCATCATTACCTGTTTTTCAACCCCTCATTGAAAATTCTGATTAAAAGACAAGGCTCTTTGCAAAACTCCTACCCAGGGCCTGAGAACCTGATTCCTATCCCGAGACTCTCAAGAGCTGAAATAAAAACCTGCCAGGCATGCGCAAATTGATGATCAAGTCATGACCAATGCCACTGGGACGGGGAGGTGGCAGTGCTGGGCCTCTGGTCACACCAGTCAAACCCCTGGCTGCTGACTCCCGGGAGGTGGCTGCTGCTTTGCTCTTAGCAAAATCCTCGGTAGATGATTCACACAGAAAATCATAATTTCATATATCTGTATAGAGACCAACATTTAAACTGCTTCAGACAGCAGTTTATGTTGTCAAAGTAATGCTCAAATAACATTCCGAACAGTGCTTTTTAGGATATGATGTGAGGAAATTTGAGGCACTACAGTATATGGAAATTTGTCAGTAATAACTTGAAGGACCCCAAACCACAAATGCCTTCTTGTAACAATGCTCCCTTGCATCCCTGCAGTACATAACCGGAAGCCAGTTTTTTCCCTGCAGCCGCCCTAGAACCTGGCAGGGGCCACACCTATGGATGCCACCTAACAGCAAGAGGCACAGCACACCTGGTGAGAATATGTCATCAATTTGACTATGTGGCAGAACATCAGATACAACACTTTGCACAAAATAATAAGTAAGAAGTGGAACAAAGTAAAGCTGTTCATCCAATGTCAGGCTAGAGGTGGGAGAGCCAGCAGGGGGCGGCGGCAAGCTCCTCCTTCTCCTTACCCTGACAGCCCCTGTGTCCGCCAGACCCCATGCAGGGCAGAAAGCACGTTTCCACTAGCAGTACTGGAACCGGCCTGCAGAAAGAGACAACATAGATCCATTATCTGATGACTGTCCCACTCACGGCAGGCTCTCAGATACGCTCCATGCACGGTGGCTACCATCCTCATCTACACAGTGTCAAATAGACCGGGAGGTTCTTGAGGATCATTTCCCTGGCTGGGAAGAGCCCAGAGCCCCTACATTCTGCCCCTCAGGGAGGCATGCACTTGGCCGCTGCCACAGAGGAAGCTGCTTCTCTAAATTATTTCTCTCACTGTCAGACTATGAGCAGCACTTACCCAGTTGACGCACACACCTATTTAACAAAGAGAAACTGAAAGCAATTTCAACCTGCGAATGATAGAGGCAGTATAAAAAGTGTAATTATGAAACTTACTAGGTAGCTCAAAAACGCACTTAGGAAAAAGTACCATGTTCAGTTTCAAACAAGCCCGGCATCCTCATGTGAACCTATGCACTAGCTTCTGTCCTCACCGATTTCCACGGGAGTGTGACTTATTTTTTATTTTTATCCACTAGAAGCCTTTCTATAAATATACCAACCTAATTTATTTTTAATTAACATTCTTTAAAAAAATTAACATTTTTAAAACAATGTTTTAAGCAGGTCTAACCAATGTCCTAATTCATCCAACTAAGGCTAAACCCTAGAGCCTCGAGCTTGTGAGCTGCATGGCATGAAATCAGTCACCTGAGTCTCAGGTCTGTCACCAGTAGAGACAGAGGATATTTGACAATAGCAATGCCAGACAGGAGCCCTTCCAGCTTTACTGGCTTCCAAAATATAGGAGGCTGTGATGCTGAAAAGGGAAAATGCTATGCAGACGCTGCTCCCAACGATTATTGTGGCTACTGTCCTGTCAAAGACAGTTTCCTCGGTGGCTCAACAGGAAGCTGGCAGGTAGGTGCTATGCCACCTGTATTCACTTTACACACATCCACAAACCCTAGAGTGACTGGACAGAAACTTCCATATGTCTACATTACGTTATTTTACTACTTACCTTTGCCAACATGATTCTTGTTTTTGCTACGTCCAGAGGCGTGGTGACTGCAGCTGCAAATCCACCTGTGCATATAAAAACACCCAACACACAAGTGAGGTATTGTTGACTGTATTACCTGGTATTTTATAATTCCTCATAATTTTGCCAAAATAACTTGTTCATCATTATATCCTCTTGACTGATTCAAAGGCCTTTACCCACATGCTTCATTGTTTGTGCGGTGGTGTTGAACTGAGCAGAAAAGAAGTCACGAGATGTTTTATACAAGGCACTAAAACAGTAAGGCCCCTACAATACATGTTGCTACTTTGGGGAGCAGCATACCCAAATGTACATGGTAGATGCCTCGATCGTCAGGCACTCTCAGTATGAGGCATGCTGCCCAGAGACCCTCAGAGGGGCCCCCTCCCCCTCCCCATCTATCCATGAGCCACTGGCCTCTTAGCTGACCGTGTCTATCAATGTGGTGCAAAAGGGTGGATTCTTCAAGTGGAAAGAATCAAGTTTCCCTGTAGAAGAAATATAGGGAAGCCAAGTAATTGACCCAGGGAAAATAATTTTTAAAAATACAACAAAAATAATCAGACAACTATAAATCAGAGACATTCTGTGGAAGAGGGGGAGGAGGGTGCAAAACGTGGGCTGGAAGAGCACAAGGGACTAAGGTGATGGTGCATGAGGCAATGAGTGGTGGGAATTCTGTGGGGACTACACCTGATGTAAAAAATACACAAATAAAGAAATTAAATATAAAAATAATAAGAATCAAGATTCCTGTGTGCCACAGGCTTCCAAGAGCAGGTCAATTAGAGCAACATCACTTCTAAGCCCCCTTCTACATCTTGTTAGAATCTGTCTCATTTCAACAGGTATTCTTCCTATCTTCTCGCTCATGTCCCTGTCAACTTAAATACTGTGACTGCCAAAATGACTCCCCCCCCCCCCGGCCTAGGAGTGTAAGTGGTCCCTATATATGTCCACACAGGAATGGGAGGGCTTTTTCACAGAAACCACAAGATATGGTGTCACTATTTTAATCAATAAAATACAAAGATATTTAAAATCTCAAGAAGCACTAAGGAGCTAGAAGTCCACTCCAAAACTGCAGCCCCCATGAGCAGGGTGAAATAGGCAGGTTTATCAGGGCTAAACAGGACATAGTATGTGAAAGCTGCTCCAGAAATAGCACACCACTCCTCTCAGCCTTGTGGAGTGGGGGCAAGGCCATTTGATCTGTCAGACAGCTTTCTAAGTAGGCTGCTGACATGGGGTCACACACTGAGCCTCTTCCATTTGGTGACATTATGCTCTGAGATGCACCCATTTATGGCCCAGCTCTACTCACCCAAAGGATACACAACTCAGGCAGAAGGCTTGAGAAGATGAGCGTTAGAGACCCCATTGTTTCAGGCCCTTTTGGTTTATATGTCAGATGTTTTTCTCTAGATCCAAAAGTTGCCTGGAAGTTAGACTTTGCTCAATTTTGGGTATCTACAAATTTTGCCCACTTAATCCTGAAATCCTTTCCATTTTTTGAGCCACATAATCCTAAAGGAATACATATTTTTTAAAGAAAGGGGTCCATCAGAACAAAAAGATGAAACTAGCACGCTGACCACAGAGCTGAGGCATCCAGGCTTGGGCAAAGCCAAGGGGTCAAAAAGAGGGGAGGGAAGAGCACAGGGACTATGGTAGTGGTTCAGGGGGGCTGTGGTGGTGAGTGAAAACTACAGGGCCTAACTCAGGAGAAGAAATCAAACACTGTACCAACATCAACAAGGATGTAAGAAGAAAAGTACTTCACCTAAAACTTAAAAATAAATAAAGGGGTCCTAATGAAAGACAAGAAAGGTAGGAAAGGCTAAAGTACCTGTAACTGTCCCAAATTTCCCACCCCAATTCTTACATTTGCTTTTTTTTTTTTGGCCTGGCTCCAAGTGGCTCCCTAAGGACCCAGCCTAAGAGCCCTTCCTTAGACCAAGACTGAAATTCTTGCTCTACTAACTGATTAGCATTAGGAAAATAACTACTTCTCTGACTGAAATGCCTTGAACAATAGGTACAATTAAGTCCTTAATGAGGTGAACAAGTTAATGGAAAATGATTTTCAGGTAAAAATATATAACAAAAGCAGGTCCCAAAATACCATCCACTGTCCTCTAATTCAGAATCCACGAGGGCTGTTTTTGTCTCATCACCTTATAACTAAATGATGTTATTGAAAGACTTAAACGTACTTTCATTTCTCCCATTTTAGTTAACCCCACTCACTAAAGCTCAGAGGTTAAGTAAGTCATAGATTTTACTTAGTGCATAACTGACACTTTAATGTATGTGACGCTCGGACCTAAGTCCTCGGTCACTGTGTCTTCTAAAGTCCGTTGGCTCTCCAGGTGTCATATACAGACAGCAAGGTGACTCAGGGCTTGGATGAGTCTGTTCAGTGTCTAGAGTGCTGCCTGCCTCACACGAGAGCTCAGCCGTGAGTTCGTTTCTGGACAGGCAATGCTAATGTGTAAGTTTTCTTCATGTCTCTACCTCAGCACACACCGTAAGCACCCAAAAATTCTTACTGAAGCACCTCGACAAAATTGTGTAGTTTTTTTTTCCAAACTAAAGATTTCGCCTTGTCTTCTAAAAAGGCGCCAATGGTGGTGCTGACTACCTGGCATTCTGACTGGCACTTTCACTGGGCAGGTGCTCTTTCTTACATAGGTGCTGCTTTCCCACTTTACAGGTGACTTGCACACTATGTCCATACAGAGCTGGGACACAAAGTCTCGAGAACCTTGCCTCCAAAAGTAATGCTCTATGACTGCATAATGACTTTGACATACACCGCAGCAAGTCTGTCCTACTGCTGAAATTCACACATGTTATCCCAAGTCCACTAAAATGACCGAAAGGTTGACAAAGCCATCATTTGTCCTTCTGACCACTCAAAGCTTTCCTGAGTCACCTAATAATGTTTTCATCTTCTAACAAATTTGGATACTGCAATCAAGCTTTTGGCCATTAGCAGTTCACGATTCCTTTTTTGAGGATGCCTGTCAATATCTTTAGACATTTGTTTCAGGAAAATAGCATGATTAAAAGTCAAAGACAAAAACATATGCCTAAATAGCTTCTAATTTTACTGTCAGGATGGATGGAACTATTTTATGAAAGTTATTAACAAAACTAAATTGGATGTCTTCAAATGTGAAAGATTGTTTAATTCACAGACCTCACGATGCTTTTTATGAGGCTGCAAGAGTGACTTGTGAAGGCCATGGACTAGAGTAACCAGTCCCAGTGTGGGCAGACAGGGGACCTGTACTTCAGTTAAAATGTAGTTATTCTCTATATTTTACTTAGGGGAACCATAAACTTTTGGTAATAAATACAAGGAACATGCTAACAGATTAGACAGGAAATAATTATTTGGTACAGCAACGGTAGTCTGCTTTACTACTCGAGTCACACATGCAGTGATCTTCTGTGGACTTCACTGGAACTGGGCATGTCCCGTTAGGCTAACTGCTTTCAAGGAATAAAAGCCACCTTAAGGGGAAGCTGGGCTTTTATATTTAAACGATATCTCAAGTGTTTTTAGGGAGCAAATGCAGGTTCTTTATCCTATCCAGATAAAGGGGCCCCTTTCTACAATCAGCTCGGAGCTGTCACCTCCAAGCAGCAGCTGCGAACATGGTGGGAACAGCCGAGGGCAGTGCTGCCACTCGTCCCTCCTCTAGGTCTCCCCTCCCCTGACTGGTCCGGGTGTAAGGAGAGCACCGGCACAGACCTCTTTGCCTGGTTTTCAAACAAGCATCCAAAGCCTAGCGAGATTAGACAACAAACACATTTTAAAGATAGTGCCAAACATATTCCTTTGTTACCCAGATAATCCTTTATCTCTTTCCCTTACTCTCACTCCCTCTTTGTCCTCTCTTCTCTTAGAGAATATAAGTGTTTATTATTAGAAACTGATCAGAGAACACTAGATAGCAAACATCACTAAAGTAGTAAACGTCATCATTACTTAGCCTGAATTATGGTTTTCTGTTTATAAGCTAACTTGAAGTGAAGACGCTGGCAAAGTTCTTTTCTTTCCCTCCTAGTTTAACCCCTGACAGTAAGCCAAGGGAATTTGACTATGATAAGCCTTCAACACCTCCAATCTCATGTCAAGGGACATTTTTGGGTTTCTGTGCCAAGTAGCTTATAAAACAAGCATGGGCAAGAAGAGTGCCAAGGATGGCACTGGGAGAGGTTCATCGACAATAATTTAACCAGTTTAAACTTGGAAACACACACAGTGATGAGAAAACGGATTTCTGATTTAAGAACAAGTTGTACCACTACCTTTATGGCCACGTAAGGTTAAAGAGTCTGAAAGACTAACAAGGAAGCACGTCAGGTTTTAATGGACTTGCCCAAGAGGGCGGCGGCGTTCACCTGTCTATACTGTGTAATACACAGTGTTGCAACAAACTCTGACAGAATGTCACTCTTCTTATTTGGAATCTTTTCAAATGATATTTATCTTTTAGAAAGGTTATTAAATAGCAGCTTGACTCCTTAGGATCTTAACATTTGTACCAAATTTCAAAGCAAAAGGGATATAAACAAGAAATGTATTATGAATTTCATATTTGCTAGATGTATACAAATCTATTAACAATGGATTTGGGGGGGCGGGGGTAGACTTGAATGCACTCCTTCATTTGTCAGAACCACAGCAAAAATAAGATGTCTAGAGGAGTGTTAAATATCTACAGGCCATTAGGGGAGAGGATTATAGATAGAGATTTTATTAATATATTATTCTTTCAGAGCAAATGAGAGTATGAATTACTGTGATCATGATGGTTTTTCACTGTGTCAACTGATTTTATTGAAATAGTAACAATTCCTTACCTCTGTCTGGTCTTGTAGATTACCAGGTGCTAGCACATACTTTATCTCACCTATCCCTGAGGTAATCCCCTCAGGTACAGTTAAGGATATTGGTGCTCAGGGAGACCCCAAAGTCTCATTCCCTAGTGGGGGCCAGAACAGAGAAATGACAACTGTCCAGGTGGGTCAGCTTGCCCTTTCCCAGATGGTCGTTCCGGGCAAGCTTCTTCCCTGTTCCACATCCCAGGTCCCGGGCTGTCACTGGGCCCAACGCTGCATGGCAGCCGCCCAGGTGAGCTGCCTTTACAGAAAGAGCCCAGCCCACATGCTCCCATCACACAGCAGCAGTCTGGTAAAAAAATTTCTTTCTGACTAATCTAAGCACTTAGTCCTTTTTATAAAGCATTACTGGGAAAAGGGATATGCAACAAATGCACATTTCCTTAAGAAGAAAGCACTCATTTACTAGCAAATCTTTAAATTAGCTACTTAAGGAATGGGACCAGAAAATAATATTTTAACACATGGAATTTTTATCATTAACTTTAAGGAGTGGCCTTTCTTGTCGATGATGACTAACTTTCCATAATGCTCACTTTCCCCAGGAGGAAGTCAACAAAAATGTACATTTCTCTTAAGGGTTGGGAATGAGGACTCCTGACCTCTGGAAAATGAATTAGGTTCACCTCCTCATTTAACACTGCTAATGACTACATGTCAAGTGGAAACAATTAGCTGTCATAATCAATCTGAGCTGGCTTCATTTCCAGAAACAAGATTCTTATCTTTGATTACAAACTCTGTAAGTTGAGTGGACCCAATTATTAATAAAAGAACCCTAATAAATGCTTTGTTTTCCTAATCACTACAACAACAAAAGCCCAGCCCAACAAATTGAAAAAGAATTATTTTTAAATTAAGTCAACATCCTAAATCTACAAATCTGTCAGCCTGCTGGCTTAACATCTAATCTGGGAATTTATTTTACTTGCTTTATTTTAGTCATAATTCTAATTCACCTTTATTTGCAACAACAAAGTCGATTTCACTCCTAGACTACTGAACCCGTCACTCATTAAATTCTAGAAAGCATCAGAGTTATCATGAAAACCTCACTGGGAAATCCATATGTCTTCGTGATGAATAACACACTATTGCATACTGTCACTGTGCACTTGGTTTAACGTCCAGAAAATGCCCAGATGTTTCAATCTCCAACTTCTCTACAGAGCAGTTTAGCCTTCGGTGCGTGTGGAGCAGCCTCTGCTCTCATAACACTAGTTAATCTGCAACGCTGTCAAACATGTCACACGACCCGTGAATCATTGTCTTTTGCAGAAATTGCTTAAAGCCCCAAAGCACCGCTCACAGCAGACAGCTGCACAGAGCACCCTGCACCCACAGCCAGCCTCTTCCCACTGCGGGCTTCTATAAATCATCTTTAAGATAATCCAAGGGCCTGAGTGAACGCTTCAATAAAGATAAAAGGAAAAAGAAAAATTTGTCAAAAACAAATTGGTTGTCTTTCAAGCAGACACCTTTTTGGCAGTTTATTTTTTTCCCTGAGACACCCTTTTCTTAAGCAACCAGTGGAACTCTCTTCATCTAAACAATCTGGAATTTCTAAAGAATGTTGTTTTTGCATAGTTAATATTTTCACATTTTTCTCCCCCTCTTTGGTCTTTCCCAGTATAATCTAATCCTTTGCACCTGCAAAAGCTCCACAGACTGCTGACTGCCAAGAATCCACCACACGATCCTGCCTCCAGGACCAGAGGGCCTGTGTTTAAGGAGAAAGAAAAATACAAGTTATTAAATATTTGAATTTATCGGAACCTCCTCTGGGTTAGCTCTGGGGATGGGAACTTAAGTGAGAAGCTATTTTGAGGACATTCCTCACTGATGACATAAGTGATTTTCCCAAGGACTTAACTGCTTTCTAAAATAAGACAAATGACAGTAATAGCTACATTCGTGTGCTCGAAGGAAACTCGTGTCAGGGGCAGAGTTTGATATACACACACATTTGTGTGTGTGCCTACAGATTAAAATAAAGGTCTACTTTTTTAAAAAAAGATTTATTTATTTATTCATACAGAACTGGGATACAGGCCAGAGATGTGGAGGGTGAGAGGATTCACCAGAGACAGAGTGGGCAGCAGAACAGGCAGATCGATGAAGTACACTGCTGAGGGGAGCAGCGGGCAGGCAGGAGAGGTCTGCCACACCATGTGGATCTCCTCCGAGGCAGGCAGGGATCGAACTCATGCGGAAGTGGCTTAAGCCTCTTAGTGCTGTGCTTTAACCTACTGCGCCACCAGGGAGGGCCTAAAGGTCTACTTTTAAGACAATGTAACATCCTCAATATTTCTCACATTACTCTCTGCCTATAAATACCATACTTTACGTATTACTCCAGAGTGGTGTACACCAAATGTCTCAGTTCTTTATTCACTTAGCCTTCTTGAGCATGTCTGCTGGATGCTACTTTTGTTAACTATCTATTTAAATTTTGTCAAAAGCACTTTCTTTACTGTGCCTTTAGTATGCTGAGGAGCACACAAATAAGCACATGTACTGACTTTCAAACTAGGCAAAATAATAGCAGGGACATGCTGGCATGCTCTAGTAGATCTAGTAGATCACAAGGTACAACCGCATCAGTAAGCAGCGCTCTCACAGGTGCTGAGCTAAGCTCTGGGTCCCAATACACAGTTCTCACAACCACCCTGAAAGTTGTTATCCCACATTACCCAGGCCTCCCAAATGCAGACAGAGCCGGCATTCTTCTTTTTCTTTAGTTTTGTTGAAGTATAATTGATATCCAAATAACTAAACATATTAAAATACACAATTTGGTAAATACTGCCAGATATGCACAGGCACATAGCCCACAGCCACGATTAAGTCAGTGAACACACAGACCACTCTTCAACACCTCCTAAACCATCTGATCTGTCATTCTAGCTTTACTTCCTTTATCTAGAATTTTAAATAAAAGCAATTAGACCTTGGCACCGTGCTAAACCCAGGAGGTGAAGGGAGACGGCTCAGCTCAGTGACTGCATATCTGACCCGCAACTCCTGGGTACAGGGGAAAAACCGCTGAAACTGCAGTCCCCATTGGGAGCACCTGGGCGCCACACAAAGCCTCTGATCAGCTCGACCAGCTCAGGAACCGGCAAGATGGTGGCAGAATATAGACACCTAGATGACTACATCCAAACGTGCACGGGATTATATAAAAACGGACTATAGACTTACATGCTATGAGTTTCAACCCAAATGAGAACGCCCTGGACTCACTAGAAGGAAAAAAACTGAGGGAAAACCAGCGATTGTGGAGTTCCCATAAGGAAGCCGCACAGGAAGGATTAGCTGAACCCTGCAACGCTGATACGGGAACCCCAGCGGCTTCCTACTTGTTCGGCTCCTTTAAAAATCTAGGCGCCCAGAAGCCAGGAAGTGCTGTAGAGGAAAGCTGCCTGCAGCAGCAGCTACAGCTAATAGGCAGCCTTTTGTCCCAGCCCTGCTACAACCCTGGAGATAAACTGAGACAATTCAGCTAGGGAGAGGAAACCAAACTGTGGGAAAAGGCTGCAGCTAGGAACCAGAGACCCGAGGATACGTGTTGCTGACCTTTGCCCCAGCAGCCCCGACAAAGCCCTGGATATAAACTGAGACAATACAGCTAGGTAGGTGAGTGGATCCCAAGCTGCGGGAGGGGGTGGGGGGTGGGGGGAACAGAGACGGACCCAACCCCAGGATAATGCAGCAATTTTTTTTTTTAAAGATTTATTTATTTGTGCATACAGAACTGGGGTACAGGCCAGAGGCTCAGGGGC